TTGGTTGGTTGGTTGGTTGGTTGGTTGATTGCTTGATTGGTTGATTTGTTGATTGATTGGTTGATCGAGAGATTGATTTAATGATTGCCTGGTTTAGGGGACCAAATTGTAGTTTAATGCCGTAACATCAATTCAAGGGGGTGGCGGATGGCAGTTACCATCAAATTATTATTGTTACGATAATCAATGTGCTTGCTTACATATGACCCCCCCCCCCCTAATTATTAAATATCTAATGAATTCTCTACTATGAAGACAGTTAGGTATGAATTACGAGGATCAGGGTCTAAATCCGGCAATGATCTCTGCAAATAAGAATAGAAAAAATGTGCAAAACACGATCACAATGGCCATAATCATGTTAAGCAAACTAATTGCCAAATAATTTGTTTGTATGAAAACATTGTACCTTTTTCAATATTAAAAAGGGCACTATAGGTCTGTGTAAATATGTTCAGCAGTCTCCTGGAGTTGAAGGCAGGTTCATGCAAATAAAACCGAACAGCTGAAAGCCTATTTCCTTATTTGACAACAATGCTAGATGCATGTACGAACACGATTATAGCGGAAGAAAAAGACACTAATCTTTTTTCCCTTCATTAAATTCTGTTGTTTATTACTGAGTTCAGTCAATACTTGATATCTTTAAAGAAATATGCATATCATATGCAATGTAACATGTTGACAGCAAAAAGGGAGATGTGTACTTTATTAGACAGTGCCAATCATTATTGAGATTGCTAAATATGTGTACATGTATTTGCAAACATGATTTGCATGACTAGTTTCCGTATGAAGTGCATATATATTTTGCCTGTGGGAAATGCCTCATATAACATTATTTGTACAGTCGTGTATGTAAGCTCAAGTCTCTCTCTCTCTCTCTCTCTCTCCCTGCGTCTCCCCCTGTCTCTCTTCCCCCTCTCTCTCTCTCTCTCTGTCAGTCTTCTTCCCATTGTACAACCTCCTCTCTGCCCCTTGTATTAACGGTTCCACAATCAAAACGAATTTACACCATGCAATAAGCCTATGTAGAAGAAGCTTATACTCTTCATACATTTATTGTTTTCAAGACTGTTATCTCAATCTTAACCCGTAATACATCTAGAAAGACCCGATAAACAATCAAATGACAACTTTTTTTCGTATCCATGTTCTATAGTACTAATAGACTTCCAACATAATCCAACAAACAAACATAATTCTCAACAATGCCAGCCAAACGAAATTAATTTTTAAAATATATATATTTAGTTAATAAGAAAAGTAATTCAAGACAACTTTTGAACTTTCTGTATCTAAACAAATGTTGTCTTACCAATCAACGTGATATAGAATATGGTAATCCATACATAATTCATGATAGGCAGACACTGTTGCTAAGCACTAGAAACTATCATTCCGTGAAAATGAAAAGAGTATACGATTCTTAAGTATTTAATTTTGTATATTAATGTGCCTCAGAATGAGTAAACATACACATGGTACATCAACAAAATGAGCATATTTAGTTACTACCGTGATTATAATGCCCGATATATACAAGCATAAACCAAACAATACTACAATATTATTGTGCTAATAAACCTATCCTCGCTCCAATATCATATACCTCTTTCCGAATTTCATTAGCATTATTACAACATAAACAATTCAAATTAAAAGAGTTTAGTGAGAATAAACCCCTGGCATAATATGATCATCATTGACAAAAAAAAAGAACAGTAATGTTGATGAAAATCTGATCAACCTTTTCCGTTATGTCAGGTGGAGGGAATGAAGACTGCAACTGACCAACACATTTATATACGAAAGATGAAAATTCCCCAATTCACCACATCTAAAAAGCTGACATGAGAGTGTAATATTAAAAACATTCGTACGATTTATTATAATAAACATCATTTGGCAAGGGTTTCCTTGACATAACATGGTGATACAGTAAAAATGCGGCATTTTAATATACGTACAATTAGCTCATTTGGATTAAAGTCCCTCTAAAGTGTTGGGAGCCCCACGAAATTTGATGGCAAAATATCACTTAGATTGTATCATATTAATGTGAAAGATGATGTCATTTAAAATACATATCTGCAAGGATTTTCAAAGCAAATATGTTTGAAGTCGAATATTGATGAAAGAATACACAATTTAGGTTTTCTTCTCCAAATTAGGTATTCTTATTATCAATATTTGTCTTGAAACACACTTTTGGGGGGGGCGGGGGGATCATTGCAGGAATGTGTCTTAAATGACGTCCTCTTTCACATTATGATACAATTTAAGTGAAATTTTACCATAATTTTTTTGTCGAATTTGGGCTCCCAACACTTTAGAAGGGCTTTGAGATTTGATCGAAAAAAGCAAAAGGTCTCGATACATTAATATCTCTCAATATTATTTATATACAGATGTGAGAATTATCTCGAGAGACAAAAATAATTACATTATCATTTAATCGTACATGGTATAGAGTCTTATGCTCGCAAACTTTAATGTTTGTGATTTCAAATTGCATTAGATCGTATCGATAAAATATAACATGAAACTTGCAAGGCCTATTCAGGAACCTGATGTTTTGAAATTACAGTTTGATCAATTTTCTACACCATACCTCAGAAACTTTTCATCACTAGAATGAATATAATGGTGTAGTTCTCCTTTTCGTTCTTACTATCAGTTAATGGATAATATCAATTTAGAGTATATATCATCATCAATTCAAGACGAAAAGATTTAGTATATTTATTTTAATTGATATACATTAATACGTTCTAAACCTGAACAGTTTGCAATACAGAGAGTACATGTATGTCATTAAGGCAGAACCTCAGAAATGACTTCCTCCAAATGAATAGAAGGTATTTACAAAACTCATGAAGACCAGCACCATTTACCCTATATAGGGATGCATGTGTAATGCAGAATCAAGTTATTGCATTGACCGTTTGTTCGTTATAGATGCAAACTTCGATTTAAGACAGACTCATGGCCGACAAAATGGAGAGCAGAACTCACAAACACACATCAACGATCAGCTTCATCTTAATAAGAAGAAAATGTGTCTTATTATTCTTCCGAAATGTAACACTTTTGCGGAGTTCGGCATTCAACGAGTGCATGAGATCTATGTCAGCATGGATAATGAAACAAGCAACAAAAGTCAAGAACTTTAGAAAATCCTCTCGATTGTTGTTGCTTGGCTCTCCATTCAGCCCTAAGAAGGAAGGTTACTCATGAGACTCTGAACTAGTGATGGTCTACGGTGTGGTCTGGGGTTGAGTATAGCATCAGGGTCCTCTGCAATACATCTCTGTAAGGCATTATGAGCTATGGCTTGGCAGAACTCTGTTGGCTGGAGCTGTAGAACTAAATTTCCGTTGCCACTTTTGATTGCAGAATCTAACATATATTTAACCTGAAAAGAGAAGATGCTTGATGGTCAGGGTAAGTGTTTTAAGATATTGCCCCCACCCCCACCCCCCCCCCCCCCCCTCCACCTCAGCTCAAATATAGAATGACTCGAGCAACGATTGCAGACATTTTTCTAATGATCATTTTCAGGGTTTTACGCCTTGGCCTGTTCTACTTAAAACAAAATAATGAAAGCAAATAAAACATTTAAAAAATAAATAAATAAAGAGCACATCACGTTACTTGAGATCCCGGGGCTTGAGATATGTCTACAGATACATTTCTAGATGTCTATGTGAAATATCATATCGATCCTGGCTGAGATATAATAGGGTAATCAGACCAAACCAATCAAATACCCTATGTAAAATACCCTATGTCAAATAACCTATATACATGCAGCTTGGTCCAGGGGTGGACGGGCTAAAGAGAGTTTGGGGGATTTTCCCCACAGGCTCCTCGATATTTTGGCTTGAGGGTCTGTTGATTTGTGTTCTGAGGGCCGATTGATATATAGGTTGAGTTGGCTCATCGCATCCAAATTCTCCGACCCAATTTCAGTCTCAGTCCATCCAAGGCCTGGTCTTAGTATCACCCATTGGTAGACTTACCACTTCTGAAGTAGCGTCGAATGGTACATGACGGTCTCCTATAGCTGTAATGGATCGCTGTTCAGCAGATGGGCTAGGCATGTCAGTAGTGGAGAGAGCTGGACAGACGCACCTCAGACCATCAGCTATCCTACTCATTACACCATCTTCATTCATACTCATGATCTGAAAACAAATACATCAAGAAAACAAAAATAAAAGAATGGGAGAAACATAATTAACTTCTTCTGACTATTCTGACCATTTCTTGTGGAGCTCCTACTACTGGGAAGCAACTATAGAGCTTGGGAAAAACCAGTACTTAACTTAAATTAGGATTCTGCCTTACCTCGTTTCCATGGAGGGTAATGCCTAGAGCTGCTACAGATTGAACACATAACCGCACTCGTACCCCAAGAGGGAACAACTGCACCAACAAATCCACCTGTAAACAGAAAGGTTATTAAATAGTATGACCTTAATGTTTATAGTTCTTGATATTAAGTCTATAATTCAAAGAAATAAATATGAAAGACTGTTTTCGTGTAATCAATTCAATTCAAAGAGCTGAATATGTACAACGAATTTTGTTTATTCTGTATGCGCATGATCATTATCCTTTTGTATGATGCATAATCCAGCAGCACAGTAATAGGGGTATAAAGTTGCACCCTAGTGATAGGGATACAAATTGGAGTCTGCAGCAGGTGCATGAGTATACTCCTATGATCCACGTGCATAAAATCAGTTATTTAGCAGTATTTAGTCACCTTCATTGATACATAAACGATTTATTTGCATGAAAATAAAATAACGTTATAAGTTATGCTGTGGTTTTGATACAAAATGGGTGAGTGGGAGAGGGGGGGGGGGGCGGTCCATTATTTGTTTATAGGTAAATATAGGTAGAATAACAAATTTTCTCTCAGCTTAATTGTGAAGGTAGTTGGAAAAGTATACAAATATCACTTCAGTTATTCAAAATTACTCATTAAAATATATTGGTTAGGTTATTTTGTCAGGCTTACCGTTTGTCCTGCGCTGGATTCGATGTAGTCAATTGCTTTATCTGCTGCTCTAGCACCGACAAGTTTTTGTTTATTCACCTGCAAGATACGGGTCCCCTGAAACAGCTGACTTTGTAGAATTTCCGGACAAGACTTTAAGCTGAGGGAGGAAAAGAAATGGCACAAGAAAAAGAAGGGATGAGAGTAAGAAAATGAAACAAATAGAGATGAAGGATAAGGAAGATACAGAAGAAAAGAAGGTGTGCCAGAAGGAGGATGGAAAGAAAGAGAAAAAAGAAAATAGCGGAAGAGTTGGAGGAAGGAGAATGATAGTGATGTTTTTTTTATAATAAACATATTAGAATATTGCATTAAGAAATTCATTAGACATTCTCTTGATTATATGTAAATATTGTTCTATTTACGCATGGAATTTCTTTTGATAAATCTTAAATTGTAATAAAATTCGCCTCAGAATTTTAAGCTTGAACATAAAATTGGATCTAAAGCACGAGGGGCTCTCAATAATTATGCAACCTCCATAATCAAATATAAACTCTCACAACATCATAGTCATAATTTGTTTATGGCAATTGTTCACTTCTTCATGAAAATGACATTAGTTTGCCCAAATAATAAATGTGTATGCAACGTAATAATGTCTGGCTATAGTTTGATTTCAGCAAACGAACTGAAGGAAAGCACTGTTGTGGTGTTCTAATATATTGTGACGATTTATCTCATCATGAAATCTAAACATGTACATTTTGTGTATATCAAAAATTTGTATTAAAAACAACAGATCAAATATAAAACAACTTTTAAAAGAAAACAAAATAAATCTTATTCTTAAACAGATACAGAAATTAATAAACGAGTTAATTCTAATTCATGCAATGGTATCATGCAGCTTCTGGTTGTTAGCTTTCAGTACTGTAACTATAGTATAATTTCAGTCCATACAAAGCAAGCTATCTGGAAAGGAATTTAATTTCTAGATAAATCAAATGTTGGACAGGGAGGCGGGAGGGGAGGGGGATGGGGGTGATGAGTGAGTAACTGATAGGACATTATGGTCACTAATTTCATTTCATCTTTAAATTGTCATGTTACTTGCTGTTTGGCGGGTTATTTCAATGTTGATATATATTTTCTCATATTCTCATTGAGCATGCAACCTCTAACAATGTTTTTTAGGGAGACTATAAATTCGATCTAAAAATTATGGTCGTTTTGAATAAGACTAATGTTAGAACAAAAACACACAAGCCTCTGGACATAAAAGCTAAAACACAAATCTTAACCTTGTATATGGTGTATGATGGACCTATACCACAAATGGTTTTAGGCTTCATTCGTGTATTTTTTAATTTACTGAATTTCCAGTATTTTTGTGATCTGATTGCATTTATATCATGCTATATGTTTGGAGATTGCAAGTAGTTCGTGATATCATGCTTGATATAGTATCAGTATTCTATATAAGCAGAACAGGACGAGTGCGGGTTGCATGCATCGTGACTCCATTTTGATTTTACTTACCACTCAAATTCAGTCCTGAGTCGTAACAATGATAGTTCCATGAAAGAGAATAATATGATATAGTAAAACGCAAATAAAGATTCGACAAAGAACAATCTTTTTGTAGATAGTATGTTATCCCAAATAATAACAACCATTATTCACTACCAAGCTTAACGTGTAGAGATCATACAAATCTCTTCATTATAGTACTAGTCATTTTTTTCATTTATTATTATATCCGAATTATCTGAAAATAAAAGTTACAATTCCAAAAAAATATCCCCCCTTTAATCGTCACGACGAATATAAATGTTTAGGTCATCAATCTTCAATCTACTTACTACACAGATCCCCGGTAACAGATAAACATGTCCTTGAGTTTGCCAGTGTCTAAGTCTTTCTTGTTGATGGTGAGACTCGAATTCTCTTGACTGCATTCAATCTCTAAGTGCCTGAAAGAAAAACAAATCTACTTATAAAACAATGACAGTTTGAATCCAGTAAAAAAAATAATGTGTGAATAACTAAACGTTTGGGTGGTCGTGAAGTTGCTCAAGATTTGCAAATTTACTTTTAGCGAATGATTTATTTAAAAAAAATGATGTGATTCCGTTTATATATATAAATCGCCCTATAACAATCACCGTGTCTTTAAAACCACTCAAAGATAAAGAAACGTAAATATTAATATAAATAGCTTTATAACTTTTGTGTCTACTTTATTTTTTTAGATGTGATCTTCCCTGTCTCTTAATGTATATTTCATAAGTTTTTTAGGACAGAATGTTGATATGTATCAATGATAATATGAAGCAGTACAACAACAAAAATGTTCAGTCATGCTATAGATCTGAGCAGTAATGAGCTATACACTTGCACGTGGAATACATTACGGTAAGTACATTACGGTGAGTATGATGCCCTTATTTCTTCATTAACATGTTCAGAGATGGAATAAAAACTTGAAGTAAGATTGATATTAAGAAATTTACCCTTACTCTGCGATATCAGTGTGTTTATTTTTATGTCCCTTTATACGAAAAATAAGAGTAAAATATTATGCCCTTTTTTCATTAGATCTTACGTGCATTGGTAGGCTGGTTCTGTAGGACGAAGTGGACCAGGTCGACTCATCCCGAAGTCGACTGATCCCGAAGACGGTTGATCTGAGGATTGTGAAATATCCATTCTATCTCTTGACTCAAGAGGCAATATCTCGCTTGATCTGTCATCGTTAGTTTCATGTTGGTGTTGTTGTTCCTGCTGCTGATATTCCTTCAGCTTCAAAATGGTCTTTTCGAGGACGATGTCCGTACAGTCTTTATTGTAAATTTCGTCGATAAGACCACTATTTGGTGAGTTAGGAGGATTAGGGCTGACAGTCTCATAACCCACGACATCTCCCAAGTGACTCTCCCTGGGAGTTCTTTGGCCATCTCTTCGACTAGTTTCATCCGTAGCGTCGTCGTTGGTAGGGGGCACATCGCCTCCATCTTGCTCGGCCTATAAACGAAAGAAAGACATCTTTAGACTTTGTAATACAAACGATCTCTTTTGAACCTCCCTTAGGTACTATCTCACATTATATACTACTGCTTTCATCTTTATATGTATCTATCAGTCGTGGTATGTCTTCTCCAATTTTTGAGGTTTATTGAAACATTTTGCACACTTCTATTTTCTTTGCAAATCGGTTGAACATTGTCTAGACAGCAAGATAGCAAGACAGAAAAAGAACAGCATCAGCAACAACAACAAAAGATGGATTTATAATATTTCTATAGGTACTTGCCATGTAGCAGCATTTGTTTTCTTGTTTTTCTGAATCGAACGAAAGAAACATAATTTTTAGTTCATTCTTTTCCTCACACATTATTTTCTTCTGACTTTATATAGCCATCATTAACAAGGTTAAGAACCACCTGCTTTCTTCTCGTGTGCATCATCAATGAATCAAGCAAGATAGCAGGCACTTCATCTTTTCTTCGGTCTCCTTTCTTCCCTTCTACGTTAATCACTACTTATTCACTAATTATAAAGTTGCTTTTCAGACTAACCAAACTGAAGCCTTCGGGCGCGGACGGACTTGAAAGAGGATCAATTCTAGTTTTATTATTAGGTCGTCTTGGTCGATCTCCAGTTTGTGCTCTAGGACGAATATGAGGTGTCTGTCCTGTTATGTTACACAGCTTTAACTCCCACTGGTCTGCATCACTTTTAATGAATAACAAATAAAAGAATGATAGGACATATAGTTCCTTTAGTTGAGGCATTTGTTTCAAGGTTATTTGAAGATTGCAACAACAAAAATCCTTCTCTTTGCATATTATCGAGGTAATATTCTAGGCACAGAATTTTTTCAGAAAGCTTTCAAATTGGCTTTTAAAGAGACATATCCACATAAAAACCACGGGAAAAAATTGAAGCGACGAATAATCAATTCAAACTAATTTCGTTACCGGATGATAATTGTTTATAGTTACCGAATCGTTACTTTGTAGTGACCAACTTGATATTTGCCAATCGTTTAGATTGACAAACCTAAATATGCCAATTTAACTAGGGGGGGTATTTCATAAAGCTGTTCGTAAAGTTACACATGACTTGTATATGAAAAGCCAAATGGGATGCTCAATCATTATTAAATACATCAACTAAAGTTGAACTGTGCAGATGTAGATTAATATTCTTATGATAACAAACATTTTTAATGCAAAATATATTTTTGGCATAATTTAATTCAGGTTTTTGAAAATATCAGAAAAAACTGTGGGCATCCTATCTGGCACTTCATATACAAGTCTTTCGTAAATTCATGCGTAACTTTACGAACAGCTTTATGAAACACCCCCAGGTTCTCAATCTGTTCCGATGATTATGATATACAAAATTCTTAATGCTCTTTATAGAGAAACTTTTAAACTTTTGATAGGCTATGTGATAACAACATTGTGTGGAGTTCATATGGTTACCTCTTGTCTTCAATGGTTAGGAAGATGTTGAATCGATCTGTCTCGGTGCCGTATTCTAAGCAGAAAAACTCTTTGTCATGTTTGTGCCTGCTTACTTTCCTTATCTTTGGAAGAATGAGGAATGGGGTTTTCCTAGAGTCTGAGAGTTCATATACGGTTAGAGATCCTACTTTACAGTTTAGCTCACAGCGGCTTGGTATCTTGGAGACTTTCTACAGGGAAAGAAAAGAAACCAGCATGATTATGATGCATTTCTTGGGGGCGGGAGCTGCAGCTGGGTGTTGGTACGACTGTTTGTAAATGAGACCATAGGCGCATGTGTTTATGTAATTAAGTGTCTGCATGTTTCTCTGAGTGGATGCCTATGTGTTAATGAACATGTTTTTGTCTATAATAATATGGGGTGTGCCATTTAGGCAGAAGATTGAGAGTTGCGTATCTTTAAGACTTTTTCGTGTACATTTACGAACAATTTATTGATACATTAATTAACAAGTGACTAATAGGTCTGCATGAAAGCTGGTAGATAGTGACCGGAGGAGGATCAGTCTGCCTTTTTTACATCATCTACCTACATGCAGTATTAATCATGATAAATGCGTCTTAACCGGGCCTGTCGAACTGTTTATTTAACATGAAAACTACTAGCTCTGATTTGGGGGAGATGGTGAGGGTGGAGAGCTTGGGGTTCTTGCATTCATATTTCTACGTTTGCCTCGTAACATTTTAGTTTGGAGGGGAGGGACATAAATAAATGGAAATGGGGGATCTTGACCCCCCCCCCCCACAGATCCGATACTGTATACAATAAAACGTATAACTATATTAATTGAAGGTTCAACGATATTGCATTACCTATTTTTCAAAAAAATCCTGTTTGTACATTTGTTTTGATGTCTGTTTGTTTTTATCGTTTTTTAAATATACCGTACCATTTAGATATTGTCACAGAGTCAATTGAGGACGTAGCGTAATTACGGGGGCATAACGGGAAGAAGAAGAAAAAAAAATCAAGATTTAATATTTCAAAATACCTTGGAAATAAGTTCGTTTATTGACTCATCCTACTTAGAGATTCTAACCTAAGCCACTTACCTTCTCTTTTGCTGTGTCGTTGTTGTTATTTGAGGCGGCATCAGAGACTAGTTCTTGTTGACTGAATAAGAAGTCACCAGTGATTGTCCGAGGTTTACCCTGCAGTAGTGCCATTGTCTTGAGTAGTCCTACTCACGTCTACGTCGATACAAATGTTTGGGGAACGTTTTTATTTTAAAACACTGTTTGGCGTTATTCGCATATAGCTGCAAAAACAAAACAAACAAAAGATACAACAATTTGAGTAACAAGTTAGAAGCGGTTTGGTCTAAACATGATGATAATCCCTAGCCACGGACCACAGTAACTGATTTTAGAATTGTGTAGAGGGCTATGCCGATACTCATTACACATGAACATTAAGACGAATCAGCCTCGATTACCCATTTTCTCATATTTTAGCTGTTGATGATATCTACACGTTACAGTTACTCTCTACACAACATTCTTATTTTATCTCTTTCTTTGAATATCACATTTTCAAGACTTGTTTATTAATTTTATTCTTTATTATCAACTTTCCATATAATGCCATATTCACTTCGTTTTCATTACCTGATAAGAAATTGGGAAGAAACCATAAACAAGTATTACATAAAATTTAAAAAAAAAGCATCTGAAAGGACAAATCCTTAAACCCTTAAATCCTTGAATAAAAACTGCTTTGAAGTAAGATTATAAATCATGTCACATAATATTGATAACAATTTTGATTCACACTTTCGGATGTCAGCAACATTCTGATTACGAAGCACCGTTCCCTTAACCTGCCTTTGTTATGATGTACCGAAATGCTGGGGACTTTTAGATTTGCACGACGATAACGAAGACTGCTACGTGTGACTGCCAGTGCCTTAAAATGACGTCACACGTAACAGTCCACGCAAATCTAAAAGTCCCTATTGCTACTGAGTTCAATTTCCCCTGTTGTTTAATTGTGTACAATTTGCGTTTAGTTTACTTCCTCTTTGAGGCGTTATTATGCAGTGTAACATGCTAACTGTGAATATAATGTCTTACATCCATGGGCCACGACAACCTATATAAAGGTGCATTTTAAAAACTGTTTTTCCTTCTCATGCAAGGACAGATCGATGCTTCCAACCAACTACAGGAAGAAGATCTCCCCTCCACCGATCCCCGCCTATAATGCCCCATCGCATATGCTAGTTATCAGGCGCGCCGGAAGCAGTCTGGGAATGGGGGGGGGGGGGGAACATTCCAGGGGGCTCACTTTCCAGGGGCAGTGACGTAATGAGAAAAAAGTTCGGAAGGGGGGAGGGGGGCAGACGAAAAATCTGCATCACCACCAGTCTTACACGTTACATGCAGGTCCCGCGGAACGTTTTTCAATGTGGAGTATTATCGATCAGGTAGAGCGTAAATTGGCGTGGGGTCCAGGGCATGAGCCTCGGCAGGGGGTCAAGGGGCTGAGGCCCCGGAAGCTCAGGGGTTTTAGGTACTACGGTTAGATGAGCATCCAGGGCCCTCTGTAAGGCAATTGACGTGTTCCAAGTGGGGGGGGGGGGGAGAGCCCCCAGGAGCTCAGAGGTTTTAATATGTAACTACGGTCAGATGAGCATCCAGGGGCCGTCTTAGGGCCCTTGGTGTGGTCCAGGGGTAGAGCCACCGGAAGCTCAGGGGTTTTAGGTATTTAATTAAGGTCAGATGAGCATCCAGGGGCCCGCCTTAGGGCCCTTGGTGGGTTCCAGGGGACAGAGCCCCCGGAAGCTCAGGGGTTTTAAGTATTTAATAACGGTCAGATGAGCATCCAGGGGACCGCTTTAGGGCCCTTGGTGGGGTCCAGGGGGCAGAGCCCCCGGATACTCTGGGGTTTTAGGTATTTAATTACGGTCAAATGAGCATCCAGGGGCCCGCCTTGCGTCCCTTGGTGGGGTCCGGGGGTGGAACCCCCGTAAGCTCTGGGGTTTTAAGCATTTAATTACGGTCAGATGAGCATTTTTTATACCTTATTTGTGACATTGGCAGGTCACTTTTTTTTTCACCGTCTTTCTTTCTTTTTCTCTTTAACATACTTTTTAAAAAAGGAGGAGGAGGGTGGGGCTCGAGCCCAGCCACTTTGCAGACCATGACATAAAGGCTTCTAAATAAGCGTATTTCGCCTGACTGTAATGTGGGAATTTCTTATTTTCTAACAAACGCATAAATAGGTATGACTTACAAAAAAAATTGAGAAAAAATTGAGAAAATCATGTCACAACATCAACATTTGTAAATCACTTGTTTCAAATAAGAAATACATTACCCCCCCCCCCCATCAGTACGCTAGCGTTCAGGGGCTCATGTCTTCTCACCCCTATAACAAAAAAACGGACACGCTTTCCCATTCTCGCACAATATGTCCACGATATGCGCGTATCGCTATCATAGAGACCTCCATTTAAAATACCGTATAGGTGGCATGCGCAATGTTTATGAAATTTAATTCCTGTGAACTTTCCTTTTTGGAATTGTATATGTGATTTAATTCAGGTTTTTATTATTGTTACGTTCTTTTGGATTAAAAATACAAACAATGTTTACTCCTTTACTGTTTTTTTTTTTTTTGGAGGGGGGGGGCGTTTTGAGGGGGCAAAAATGCGTTTTGCCCCCCCCCCCCGCACTTTTTTGACTGGGGGGGGGGGCAAAAGTTGTTGCAATACGCGTGTAAATAATTCAATATTTACACTTACACTACAATGAATTCGTTAATTAAATTTCTCGAAGTAAAACTGTCAAACAACGTAGTTATACAATACGTATAAAAAGGTGTACCCAACTTTGGTAACTTCTAATTATAAAGTTATCACTTATGTGACCGTGAATCATTTATTATGGTAAAGGGTAACTTGTACCCTGTTTAATGGTACCATATTCATAATTGAGCTGTTACAGATGACTGAGCAGCAGGCTTTTCAAACAGTATTGTCAAAATCCTCTTGTACCAAGTTTGGGCTGAAGCAGTGAATGCTGATCAAAAGCCATTATGTTTGTGTTAACTCATTCCAGACACGTTTGCTTATTTATTTTCATTCACTATTGGGCTGTTGAAAAGATATGATGTTGATATCAACCCAAACACAAGGAAATCCATATTACAAGCAAAATGTATGATATTCTCTTCGACTATGATGAATACAATGTTGACTTCATTAATAATAATAATAACATTTATAGGGCGCTTTATACAGGTGTTTCTAAGCGCACATGTGGTGCTGTCTAACTCAGTATAATTATTTAACATGTTCAATAGCTTAAAAGCAACAAAATAAAATAAAATAGTACTAATACAATTCAATTCAGTTGAATGGAATTAACTACTTATGTGCGCCTCCAGTATACTGATTAAAAAGGTGGGTTTTGAGAAGGGTTTTGAATGATTCAATGGATGAGGCATTTTGAATATGGGGTGGGAGTTCGTTCCAGAGGGCGGGGGCGAACGATGAAAAGGCACGGTCACCATAACGTGTTTTTGCTTGTGGGCCGTGAATTAGTTACATGGAGGAAGATGGACGGATGGATCTGGCAGAAGAGGAGGATCGAAGGGAGACTAGGTCAAGAAGATACCTAGGGGCAAGGTTATGTGTTATTTTGTATGAAAGAAGTAGGATTCGCATCTCTTGTTTGAGGTAATCTTTGAGTGCTACAAAATGGTTTAAGTTTACTTGGGATGCTTTAAGAAAATGAAAGTCTACTGTCAATTTCTTTGATACTTTATATCATCATATGTGCTATTTCTTGCATTTGAGTTTCGTTACCTTTGAGTTTTCAAAGGTAACTAAACCGGTATTCGGGATAAACACCTTATGCTCCTTACGCATGTGAAATGGCGCAGCGGACAAGTTAGTGAGCAGAGAGAACTTACATATCAAAAAGGGTTATTCTACGGATTGAAACTAGCCTAAATACATTTTTAAAGACCCTGGTCCTCAGTCATTCGTGACAGAATGTTATGAATAGGGTATCACTTGACAGAAAAACAGTTACAATGACATTTTTTAAAATGACATCATGGGTATTTCTCTAAAATTCACCAAAGTTTTTTAGAAGGTCATCAATATTTCATCATAACTTACACCTCTAAGCAAGTTAAATTCAATGGCCATTGACTTATATTTTATTGTGATTTGATATGTTGAAATAAGCTTTTGTACCTTATATAAACATAGAAGTATCTCTTTTATCGAATAAATTCCCGTCTTTAGTTGTAATTTTCACGATGTACTAGCTTTTGTAAATGTTAGTTATACAAAAGAAATGACATTTAAGCTTACATGTATTGTATTGTATTGCATTTATTAAACTTCATTGATGTACATCAATATTCTGTTTATAAACATATAAATAAATTTACAATGTAATGTATCAAATCAACATTCTGTTTGTAAACATACCATATAAATCATTATCATTATATAGCAAATGTCATCGATTAACTGGTATCATAATTTGTAGAATCAGTTTAAGGCTACAAATATATTTGTTGGTGTCAAACAATAATCGAACAGTTTATACTATTTGATTGAAAACATAAATATTCGTTTTAATGCTAAAAATATGAGGTTCTTAGAAAATAATGTTCAATATCGGAATCTTAAAAGAGTTTCCGTAAGTATATTATGGCGTTTCGATGGTCAAGTTATCATTAGGTCATCCTTCTCATGTAGTAGAAATAAGAGGAAACGGGAGAAGGTATGGAATGAGCGGGGAGGTTGTGTCATCATATTAATTTCGTTTTTCCGCCATTTTCCCTCTTTTCCCTCTCCCTTTTTGTTTTTCATTTTCAATTTCCCCCTCACTTGCTCCATATCTTCTGCCTCTTTTTCAATTCTCTTTGAATTTGTTAAAAGGGACGTTTTTGTTCTTTGTGACGGCATTGAATATTCTCAAGCAAGCAAATTTCATGAAATTTTGCAAAGATCTTGTATTGAATCTCTTTTCAGCTCTTCCTCTAGAAAAAAACGGGGAGGGGGGGGGGGGGCTTATCATATTCACGATGAAAAGGGGAAAGAAAAGAAAATACATGCAAGATAACATTTCACGTGTTGAAAAAGAAAAAGACACATGATGGATTTAATTGAATATTAAATCTAAATACTGTCAAAAAGTATAGGTGAGATAAAGAATGTGCTTTCACATAATTAATGAACTATTAAACCATATAGCTATTCACTGAAAAATGATCCTACTCCGTACTTCTGTCAACTTGTATTATCTAGGATTAGGTTTGGTTTGAGTAACTCTTTCCTAACTACATGCCAATCCATTTCTTTACGTTAACAACTTACAGAGTTACCCCAATTCATTCCTGTTTTTGCCAAATTTGAGATATCTATACCAGTGACTTCAATTTTCAAACAATGATCTGCAGCTTAAATATCATTTATCAGGTTTTGTTGAACCTTTCGTTATTCTTTTTCTGTGATTTTTCTGCTTAAGACAATCAGGTTGGATGCAATGGTAGGTTTTTATATTCAAATCGTCTCCTGACGTTACGTTATTTGCCCAGCATCTAAATACATCAATTGTTAATTAAATTTTACCGGGAAGGAAAATGGGAGATTCTGATCCCGCGCGTTTATATACAATACTCTGTCCTTAAATGAAGACTCTTTGGCCCGAATTCACAAATGAGGTTTGTCGACAAACCGAGGTTTATGTACGTCATATGACGCGTTTTTACGCGTTTTTTTTACAAACCTGGTTTGTAAATAACAAAAGGAGGTTTGTCGAAACAAAAGGAGGTTTATCGACAAACTTCCTTTGTGAATTCGGGCCTATATGGGTATACAAAGATTGCTCCCTAGGGAGTAAGGATAGTGCGTACAAACTCTGTCAATTGAAATATGAATCAAATGACATGCAATAATAATAATAATAATAATGATAATAGCTAGTTCTTATATAGCGCTTTTCAGGACCGAAGGCCCTCTCAAAGCGCTTTACAGATATATATATTATTAATAACCAAATCAAAGATCATATTAATTGTAGAATACTTTGAGCAACTATCGAGCAAATAGGGGTGTACAGGAGATAAATATATACATATACATGTTAAAATATGAATAAAGATATCACAATGATGATATTGATAAAAGTATAGAAAATTTCGATTAACAATTCCCTATTAAACCTTGGATTTCAAAATGTCCAAATAAACCAATATAAACATTTCATGCACTGGGAACTTTAAAAAATAGGCCTAATTTTCAACGTACACAGGCCTATGAAATAAAGATAAATACAAACATTTAATATTTCGTTCAATGTTTGCTATCATGAGTCCCCCATGCTACCGGTTGTCAAGTTTGCGAATAAGCGTCCTTACCTGAATATAATGTCGCCAGTCGAAAGCGAAACCAAATGCTGATCTTAATGTCAGATGTCATTGCAAAAACAACGAATTTGAAGACCATGTATCCACACGATCTTTGTATAAACTATAGGCTATAATCGCATGAAACTCCGTGATTTTTTATTCAATTTGTTCTTTATTTCCCTTGATTGAAAGCACAACCACTCTGGTTGATACCCTCTCTTGATAACAAACGCAGAACTGATCGTGCACCAAACGGAGCAATTAGCTAACCGCATATACCCACCACCCCACTGGAGTACTGATGGGGGGGGGGGGGACGGGAGTTCCCCCAAAACAAATCAAATCAATATTTCTAATTCGATACTAGTGATTTACAAATGTTGCTGAAACTACATGATTTTCCGGATTTTTTTCTAATTCTTTTGTAAACTATGCTTTTATATGCGTTTGTTGGAAAATGACAAATTTACAGTCAGGCAAAATATATGCTGATCAAAAAAGCCTACATGTCAGGGCACGGGGAACGGCGTGGCTTGGCGGGGTTTGGTGGGGCTTGGCGGGGTTTGGTGGGGCTTGGCGGGGCTTGGCGGGGCTTGGCGGGTCTCGGTGGGTCCCGGTCCCTCTCACTTTATTCAAAAAGTAGGTTAAAGAGAAATGGAAAGACAGAAAGAAAGACAGAATAGTGACCTTCCAGTGTCACAAATGAGGTATTAAATGCCTAAAATTCCTGAGCTTCTTGGGGCTCTGCCCCTGGACCCCAAGCCAACTGCTGACCTGCCAGATTCACAACTAAAATATCGAAATATACTAATGTGACCCTAAGTAAATGCCCCAAACCCCTGAGCTTCTGGGGGCTCTGTCCCTTGACCCCCGCCGGGGCTTTGCCTCGGGACCCCACGCCAATTTACGCTCCACTCGCTTCGCTCGTTACGTTCTACCTGATCGTAAACACTTAAGCCCCCCCCCCCCACTTTGTAAAAGGTTCCGCGGGGCCTGCATGTAAGAGTGGTGGTGATGCGGATTTTTGTTATGCCCCCCTCCCCCACAATAATTTTTGCTCACTACGCCTCTGAGTCCACCCCTCCGTTTTCTCTACAATATAAAGACCTGATTTATACTTTACCTTGTGACAGATAGAGCATGTCCAGGGAGAGATCAAGAAAAGGGAACAGCCATCATGTATTCGCCATACGCTCTTCTTGACGCATTCATTCATCTAACGAGGAAGAGGAAGTGAATTATTCATATTTATGTTTTTGTGTTGCGAGCAAGAATGAAAGAAATGTCAAGTCCCCAAAACACCTTTTCCATAAAAGTAAAATCTAGATTTCAAAGTGAATCTAGGATTTAAATCTATTCTAGTTTTGATAAACAGAATGTAGTTTGTCTTATCCTATTATTCCTGAAATTTTTTGACCAAAGATGAAATACTTCCATTTTTTTAAATAATGTTTTCTAGTTGGTACATAATACTATCTTTGTCCATTATGACAGCTTTGAAAAGCCTGAAAGCTTTGGATACATCGGATATTTTCAGAACGAAAATAGATAGGCCTGACCCTAAACTTTTGTTTACTTGTGGCCTCATGAAGGATGTATGCTACTATCATGATATTGTTATCATTATAATTCCTATCTTTCCTGGCAAGAATGATCCTGGGAGTGCATCCAGGAACCCACATACAAGATTTATTTCTTGCCTTACAATGGAAAAACATACACTCAAGATTGCAGGTTCCTAGATTGAGCGAAGTTTACAAATGTATCAATGGAATGCCCCCCCCCCAGTATTTATGCCAACGTTTCACAAAACCGTGATAGTACAAAAGCCACTGCCCCCATCAAGAAACGGGTGTTTTTTGTACTTAGGATCGAAGCAATGGAATAAATTAAATGCCGAACAGAGATTAGCCCCATCACTCAAAATGTAATGTTTTAAAGCAACGTTTGTATAACTGTTTTTGTTCTATCCGGAGACAAAACGACGTTAAGATTTTTACTCAGGTAGTCTATGTTCAGATGTTAGTGACCACTTGCCCATTTTTCTAGTCTCTAAAAGCTCTAATAATAATAATACTTATCAACCTAGCTCTTTTCGCTTTATTCGGAAATACTAGATGATAATATAAGAAATTTTCAATATGATCGTCATCATGAAGAATGGACTAATCTTTATAATATGACAAATGCTAATGATGTATATTCCTTTTTATTAACCGTTTTACTCAATAATATTGTTTGACAAGAATTTTCCTCTGTCAAAAACTAAACAAACTAAAAGACGCATGAAAAAACCTTGGATAACAAAGTATTTATTAAGATGCATAAAGAAGATAAATAGTTGTTACAAACACTTTCTTCAAAACAATACATCGGATAATGAAAGAAAATACAAAAAATATAGAAATAAATCGAATAATCTGTTAAAGCATGCAAAAAAACATACTTTTCTAACAGTTTAAAGTTATATCAAAATAATACTAAACAGACTTGATCAGTTATAAACTCATTACTAAATAAGCCTAAAAAATCTTTACCTGAATACTTTTTAAATGGAACTGAGAAAGTTTGTGATCCACAACATAAAGCAACTGAATTTAATCAACATTTATGAACTGTTGTAGACGGATAACCACATCAATGGTCAGTTCTTCTAACAATACTTCTTTTAAGGATCATCTGACTGGTTTTATCGACAATTCTATTTTTGAAATCCTATAACAGAAAATGAAGTTATACAGATTAGTAGTTTATTACACAACAGTAATCCAGTTGGATTTGATAATCTTAGTATTAACTTAATGAAAAAAAATTATATTTTATATTGTACAGCCAGTAATATTTATATTTAATCTCTCTCTCTTTCTACAGGCTAAGTCCCAGATAAACTAAAAATAGCTTAAATAACCCCCGTATTTAAAAAAGATGATCCTCATAAATTTGATAATTATAGGCCAATATCTATTCTGCCCTCTATATTAAAGTTGTTATAAAAATGTATCTATAACCGATTATATTCATTTTGTTTAAACAATAAAATTCTCACAGATTCACAATATGGCTTTAGGAAAAATCACTCTACTACACATGCTTTGATAGAATTACAAGATAAAGTTTTGTCAGCAATTCATACCAATAAATTTTGCATTGGAATTTTCATGGACCTTTCAAAAGCCTTTGATATTGTTAATCATAGAATACTTTTATCCAAATTAGAACACTATGGGATTAGGGGCTTACCACTATCTTGGTTTGAAAGTTATCTTGCTAATAGATCTCAATATGTAGTTTATAATTACAGTTCCTCAAATGTTTCTTCTATTACACACGGCGTACCACAAGGTTCTATTCTAGGTCCTCTACAGTTTCTAATTTACATTAATGGTCTTACACATTCTTCTGACAAATTTAATTACATTATGTACGCTAACGATACTACTTTAATTTACACCCAACCTAACACTCATAACTTACAAAATAATATCCATACTGAATAAGACAAAGTAACAAAATGGTTCAATTCGAATAGATTGTTGATCAATCCTAGTAAAACATACAGTGTGTCCCGAAAAAAACTATACACTTTTGAAATGGCTGCCGAATAAAAAATATATGATTCTAGGGGGAAAAGTTGTATATGTATGGAAAGCCCATAAACTCAACTTTCATATGACACCAACAAGTTTGAAAATAATTCATGCTTGGGTGAGCACTGCTCACTTTTGTAAAGGGTATGAAAATTAGGTTGCGCAGGAATTAGCCTTCCAATGTGTGAGAGGTCAATCCTTTGGAGCTTACAACATTGAGGGGGATATGATAAATTCATGATTTGCTGAGTGAATTCCATGGTTTATTAAACCAAACTTTTATGCACGAAACAGGAATTTCATTTTTCTATTGTAGCATTGTAACTTTCCCTGGTAGACTCAGTGGTGTGTTCATGAGAGCCAGGATTGGCTGATGGTACATGTTGTAATTTCCATGTTACAAACTGTTATTTTTTACATTTGTGACTTTGAATAAAAACCTTCACCCCACATTTCAGTTACCATTTACCTGAAGAATAAGTAGCCGACATCTTGGACATTCCTTTTTTCAACAAACCGTATTTGAATATTCGATTTACATTATCCCTACCTGGGTATTTAATAAATCAATGAGACGTTCAACTAATCTTACAATAATTGAAATGTGGGGTGAAGGTTTTTATTCAAAGTCACAGATGTAAGAGAATAACAGTTTGTAACATGGAAATTACAACATGTACCATCACCCCATCCTGACTCCCATGAACACACCACTGAGTCTAACAGGGAAGTTACAGTGCTACAATAAAAAAATGCAATTCCTGTTCACTCATGCATAAAATGTTAATCCCATAAACCAAACATTTCACTCAAACCCAAACTCATCACAATTGATCATAAATTGGTCATATCATCCTCAATTCCGTAAGCTCCAAAGGATTTACCTCTCACACATTGGAATGCTAATTCCTGCGCAACCTAATTTTCATACCCTTTACAAAAGTGAGCAGTGCTCACCCGAGCATGAATTATTTTCGCAACTTTTGGTGTCATATGAAAGTTGAGTATATGAGCTTTCCATACATATATAACTTTTTCCCCTAGAATCATATATTTGTTATTCGGCAGCCATTTCAAAAGTGTTTAGTTTTTTTCGGGACACACTGTATTACATAACTTTCCTCCATAGGCAGTCAAATTTCACTAATTCGCTTGATAATTTGTTTATAAAAATAGATGAGGTTCTTATTGATTTTTTTATGCAATGGGATACTCATGTCAATAAAGTCACTCAAAAGGTATCTAAATGTATTGGTATATTACACAGATTAAAAGACTCGCTTCCACCTTCAGCATTATTACTACTTTATAATTCATTCATGCTCTCATATTTAAATTATTGTGTTGCTGTTTGGGGTAATTGTAGTCGAACTAAATTCGATAAATTATTTAAATTGCAAAAAAAGCCCTTCTCATATGCCTTGGATGTCATTATCGTGCCCATGCTGCCCCACTGTTTAGAAAATTGAAATCTCTTAATATTTTTGATTTGTACTATTGCTCCATTGCCCTCCTTGGTTTCTTTTACTTTCAAAATAAATTACCTATTAATATTTTTCAGATGTTCACTCGTAATTATCAGATACATAATCACAATACCCGTTTTAAGGATTCTTTTCAATTATGGCCAGTAAAAACAAATAAGGTAATGAAATCAGTACGACATAATTTCCCTGTGATTTGGAACTCCATCCCCAAAGATGTTTCTGATTGCAAGTCAGTTAATTCCTTCAAAAATATGTTAAAGCAGTTTCTTTATCTCAAATATGTATAGCTACTTATCTTATGTCTATTTTTGTGTTACATGTTTTGTTGTTTTTTGTTTCTTTTTTAGTAATGTTTTGTTATTTATCTTTGTTTTTGTTTATCTCTGCTTTATATAATGCTATGATTGCTTTGGGAACTATGCTTGTACAAGGCCTAAGGGATTTATTTATGTAGTTCCCCATTTCATTTCTAAATATGTTCATGAATTAATTTTGTATCTTTTGTATCAATGTAATTTTTAATCGAGAATGAAATGAACGCGAATTCAATTCAATTCAATTCAAAGGATTACTACATCTATCCATGTACAGGTAAACAGGAACTCTCTCTTCTCTCTTTCCCTCTCTTCTCTCTTTCTCTCCCTTTCTCTTTCTCTCTCTTTCTCTCTCCCTCTCTCTCTCCTTCTCTCCCTCTCTCTCTCCTTCTCTTCCTCTCTCTCTCTTTCTCTCTCTCTCATTCCCACCCTCCTTCTCTTCCTCTTCCATTTTCTACCCCTCTCCCATTTTCCGTGTCTTCTGTACCCTACTTGCTCACATGCACTGCAGCTGACTCCTGTAATACCCACATACTCCATTACTCCCCCTCTCGCTTTCTCTCTCTCCCTCCTTCTCTTTTATATTTACTTACTCTCCCTCAACATCTATAACCTTTGCCCTTTCAACGGCAGTAATCAGTACTTAAACAATTTAATGATTTATCAGTTGCATGTTTTGATCATACCATTATGTTTATAATTAGCTACACTTTACAACATTGATATTGATATTTATTATTATGTTATTCATCTTTGTTTTCATACCTCTGTTTCTTTTGTTATTCATGTCTCCAGTTAGTAATTATTAAGTCTATACATATTTCATATACGGTGTTTTTAGTGTGCAGGGCCCTCAGGGATATTTGTTTGTTAAGAGGCAACCTTGTTTAAAAAGAACTGTAAATAAATATGATTACTGTTATATTTCACAGAGACACGTTTGAGGTATGCGTTATTTTCGTTTTTGCATACAAAGCAGGGCTCCGAATTAGCCGAGTTGGAGCCTCGAGTTGTGGCGAGCTGGCGCGAGCTTGAACTCGCGTAAACTCGCTTGAACTCGCTTGAAATTTACCAATTTTGTATGGTTTTGCATGAATTATCATACGACGCATTATCGAGTTTCCTACGATGGATGAACGAGTCACGCGAGCTCGGTATGGGTTGCGATGACTTGTGTACGACTTGTACCGATCTACCAACGAGTTACCAAGATCTTCTAACGAGTGATAAGAGTTTTCAACGATTCATATGCGATCAAGGGGCGGGAAATGCATCATTTTGGCCAGGGGCGGCCAAGCGACTTCCGAAGTTGGAGGGGGGAGGGGGCACCAAGAAAAAAGGGCACCTTCAAAGGGAAATCTCAAAGCGAAAATATACAATGTTTTAGACCCTTACATTGTGATTACATTATCAGGGATGATGTCAATATTTGTTTCGCTTTATACACAGTACAAGATATTGTTAAAGCATTATACTTTGCAGTTGAGTGTGATGGTCCTCAAATTCATTTGCGACCGAGCGAATGGAGCGAGGAATTTTTAAAAAGATTTGTGAGGTCGCAGTGTGAAAAATTACATCTTATAAAGAGCAAAAAACCCAGCCATTGAAAACGAATTCGTTTGACAAAATTATGTAAATGCAAGCACTACTTTAAACAAACAGAACTTTGTAATTCCTTGCTCATTTTTCCTGATTGAGGTGTCATATGAAGGGGCGGAAACTCAACTTTCTAGAAATGCGATTTTCTCCTTGAAATTCAGATACCGTCCGCCAAATGACTTTTTGGTTTCCTCTCTTCAAATTAATTTTAATCACTCATGCGTGAAATATGCATCATATGAGTTGCATCAAATGAAAAAGGAGGGTCTAAGCTTTCCAAATGATAAAACATTGATAGTTCTCGGTTTCGTTTTTTCTGGGACGTACTGTATAGAAAAAAAATGCCTAAGCGGTGCCCGTTGGTCCCCCATGATCCTCTTTTTCTTATGTTAATTGAGAGCTGAGTTGATGAGATATTACCACATGTCAGTGAACAGCAGGGTGGTATAATCCCTCATGGCTAAACTAGTGCTGACGGGCTTTAAAAGAGTTTCCGTAAGTATATTATGGCGTATCGATGGTCAAGTTATCATTAGGTCATCCTTCTCATGTAGCAGAAATACAAAGAAACGGAAGAAAGTATGGAAAGGGGGAGGTTGTTTTATCATATTAATTTTTTTCTAAATTTTCCCTCTTTTCCCTTTCTATTTTTCATTTTTTATTTTCCCCTCTTTTGCTCCATATCTTCTTCTTCTTTTTCAATTCTCTTTGTATTTTTTAAAAGGGACGTTTTTGTGATTTTGTGACGGCGTTGAATATTCTCAAACAGGCAATTTTCATGAAATTTTGCAGAGATTATTGTATTTATTCCTTGTCCAGCTCTTTCTCTCTCTAAAAAAAAAAAGGGGGGGGGCTTATCATATTCACGATGAAAAAAGGGAATAAAGGAAAATACATGCAAAATAAAAATTTCACTCGGTGAAAAAGGCACATGTTAGATTTGATTGAATAATAAATCTAAATACCTATGAATTATAATTTAATCTTTCAAAAAATAGGCGAAATAATGAATGTGCTTTTCACATAATTAAGCAACTATTCAAAGCATATAGCCACTCACTGAAAAATGATCCTAATCCGTACTTCTGTCAACTTGTATTATCTATGATTAGGTTTGGTTTTAATAACTCTTTCCTAACTACATGCCAACCCATTTATTTTCGTTAACAACTTACAAAGTTGCCTACTTGCCCCAATTCATTCCCGTTTTTTTCCAAATTTGAGATACCTATACCAGTGACTTCAATTTTCAAACAATAATATATAGCTTTAATATCATTTATCAGGTTTTGCTCAACCTTTCTTTTTTTTTCTTCAAATATTTTATTTAAAAAAAGGCATTATTGGTGTGTCCTGCTGGCCCTTCAATTTCTTTTCTAATTTTAACATTTCGAGAACTATAGTGTTCATTATGTAGTTGGTTAGTTATAATTTGTTTTTCTTTATTCTTCAGTGTAGCGAACACAGCTCACTCTTTAATTTGCTTGTTGAATGACATTTACTTGGCTTAAAGATAATGTCATTGATTACACATATTATTGGAGTCCATTTAAGCTCTGAATAGAGTACATATCCCATGGGAGTGAAGATAGTGCACACAAAATCTGCCAATTGAAATATGAATCAAATGACATGCAATAACCGAATCAAAGATCATATTAATTGTAAAATACTTTGAGCAACTATCGAGCAAATAGGGGTGTACAGGAGATAAATATATACATATACATGTTAGAATAAAGATAACACAATGATGATATTGATAAAAGTATAGAAAATTTCGATTAACAATTCCCTATAAAACCTTGGATAAAAAAATGTCCAAATAAACCAATGTGAAAATTTTATGAACTGGGAACTTTTAAAAATAGGCCTAATTTTCGACGTACGTAGGCCTATAAAATAAAGATGAATACAAACATTTAATATTTCGTTTAATGTTTGCTACAACTAGTCCCCATGTTTACCGTTTGTCAAAGTTTGCGAATAAGCGTCCTTACCTGAATATTATGTCGCAAGTCGAAAGCGAAACCAAAGGCCGAGCTGACTGTCAGATGTTACCGCAAAAACAACGCCTTCGGAGACCATGTATTCACACGATCCTTGTATAAACTATAGGCTAGAATCGCAAGAAACTCCGTGATTTTGTATTCCATTTGTTCTTTATTTTCCTTGATTGAAAGCACAACCACCCTGCTTGGTACCCTCTCCTGGATGAACGCAGAACTGACAGCTGAAAGCTAGCCGCAAGCACTCACCACCCCTCCGTTCTCTCTACAATATAAATACCTGTTATACTTGAACTTGTGCATGATAGACAGATCAAGAATAGGAAACAAAATAATACGCTCAATCTGACGCATCATTAACTAACGGGAAAGAGGAAGTATTATTTCATAATCTAGTCATGATATCACATCCAAAATCCCCTTTTCTATCACGGTAAACTCTAGATTCCAAAGAGAATGTAGGTTCTGATTCTATTCTAGCTTTGGTTAACAGAATGTCGTTTGAGAGATCGGTCTTGTTCCATTATCCCAGAAAGTTTTGGAACATAGATGAAATACTACGGAACGATTTATACAAATAATGTTTTGTGCATGGTAATGCTTATTTTGCAAGTGTTTTTGTAAGTTAGTCCCTGAAAAGGGACTATTACCAAACTCACTTCAAAACTGGTTTAGATGCAACAGTGATGTACATTGTTATAACACCCGAAACTCCAAGAATTTGCATAGCATTTATTACAGAACTGCTACTGGCCAAAGAAGTGTTAAGTATCAGGGTTACCTTACATGGTCTACTTTAGATGACAGTCTCAAACAATCTGCATCATTACGACAATTTAAGTATAAATATAAACAATATCTTTGCAATTCTAAATAGTCATATCAATTTAAAAACAGTTATTATTATGTTTCAAATCGCAATTATGTTATCATCGGGTCAATTTTATCTAATTATAAAACCAGACATTTGAATGGAGAGTCCACACTGAGGATGGGTTTACTCCGCCTTTACTTGGCCACACACATTCTCAGGGTGGACTTCCCCTTCATTGCTACCGGGGCTAGACTCGATAAGCTTCGCTTTTTCTAGCCCCATCTACATTACTCACCTTTTTATGTTTTAATGTTTTAATGTTGATGTTTGTTAACTGATGTAGATTTTCATTGTTCTTTTATGCTTATGTATCTGTTTTTCATTTGCTCTGTGTCAAATGTATAAAATGTATTTTCTTACCTTGTATATTCTTCTGGTTTTAATGTGGAAAATAAATGAAATGAAATGAAATATTATCTATGTCCATATGGCTGATTTTAAAAGCCTGAAAGCTTTGGATAAATTATCATGATATTTTCATAACGAAAATAGATAGGCCTGACCCTATACTTTTCTGTTTAGAAAACCTTTCTGTATTGTTAAGTTGTGGCTTCATAAAGTATGTATGCTAATATCATGATATTGTTATCATTATTATTCCCATCTTTCCTTTCTATCTTTCCTAGCAAGAATGATCCTGGAAGTGCATCCAAGAACCCACATAGGCTTGCCTTTAATACAATTGAAAAACATACACTCAATATGGCAGGTTCCTAGATTGAGCGAAGTTTACAAATGTATCAATGGAATGCCCCCCCCCCCCCAATATTTAAGCCAACATTTCACAAAACCACAATACTCACTGCCTCCTTTCAAGAAACAGCTATTATTGTTAACAAGAGTGGTATTAACGAACATTTTAGTCATAAGGGTCGAAACGATGGAATAAATTAAATGCCAAACAGAGATTGGCCCCATCACTCAAATGTTTAAAAACAACGTTTGTATAACATTTGTTGTGCTATCCGGAGACATTACGACGTATAAGTCTACTATGTACAGTAATACAGGATCTCTCTCTCTCTCTCTCTCTCTCTCTGTCTCTGTCTCTCTCTGCGTTGCGTGTTAACGTGCACCTCCCTTGTTTCATAGACGCAGGCTCTGTTAAGTGGAAAACACTCCGTCCCTCGGACAGGACGTTAAATGGAGGCCCCGCGAACCCACAGCACTATTCGTATAAGAGTAGGGGAAACCCCGGTGTAATGGTCCACCTGCACACCCCAATCAGGCCAAGTATACACAGCATCTGCGAGAATCTGTATTGAAGGAGGCAGATTATCATAAAGGAGAGGAAGAAGAAGATATTTTCCTCTCTCTCTCTCTCTCCCTCTCTCTCTCTCTCTCTCTCTCTCTTTCTTTCTCTCATTCATTCTGTCTAGCTCTCTGTCTCTGACTCTCTTTATCGGTGGTGTAGCGAAGGTTCCAGCCACTGCGGCCGAAGACCTAAACTTTATTTTAACTCATTAATTTGCAAACAGTAATTGATACCTTTAAGTCCCACCGATGAGACCGACAAGAGACCGACAAGAGACCGACAACAGACCGACAACAAACAGAAGAACCATTTACATAACCGCAAATTACCCGGAATTAATCGGTCCATTTAGAGTCGGTTAGGCGGTGTAACTGAGGTACCAATATTTGATTTGAATTTATTTCCGTATTAAAAGAAGTACAATAATCGAAACATTACATAATACGTACACATACTATATGAGAAAAATTGATTGATTGCCATATATATATATATATATATATTATATATACTCAATATACTCATCATCTCCCAATATGGTGGTTCTGTTCCACCGAGGGGTCCAGAATTTGATACAAATAATAGAAATATGATATCGAAAGTCACTATACACCACAAACGAATATTAAGCAAAGAGACATATATTTCAAAACTATTTAAAGTACAAAAAGTAACATCTTAAGTACACCCTTAAATGTATTTAAAAGCAACACTCTAAAATTACAAACTAAAAGCAACACCCTATAATAGGAAAACATCAGCAAAGAAAAATACAATAACAACAACGAAGTTGTGAAATAAATAAGTCGCAATAGCTGGGAAAAATGATTGGAATAGAAAACATAGGAGGTCTAAAAATAAACAACTAAAGAAACTAGCAGGTCATCGACTTTATATAAAACTTGGATTCATTCATTAAACAATTTACGGAATGCAACTATATTAGATGGGAACATATCGATGGAGAATTTTGTTAATGGAGCATGCTCCTCGGTAACTAAACATTCTTCGACAGTATTCATATCGATTTCGAAATAGCTAGCCAGTATTATAGGTTCTCGCCCCCGTGGACAAACTGCTCACAATGGGCTACGTACAGCTTGCACCTGGGACATTCTTGTGTTAATTATGCTCGCTCTATTGTCTCTTTAAACCCTTTTATGAGTTACCCCTGAGTTTTGTTGGGGGGATTACCGTCTAAAATAGTACACCGCATTACATCGATGATGAAAGGGGGACTTCCCTGACATCATGGAAATACGAGACCTGCGTCGTGTTTTAGTTTGGGACTTCCCATGACAGAATCTCCGCTCAGGAACCGTCGACTTTGTTATTTCAAACTTTCCCAATTGTACAAGCGTGCACAGTGCTGACTGAGCTACTACGTTTCATGTTTTAATATACCTTAATGCATTCTTACTAAAATATGCCAAAAAGAAAGCTATGATACTAGGTGAAACGCTGCAGTATCTTGATTGTTCAATGCAAAGTTCAATCTATGAGCATGCACTGTGTCCACCAGAAATAATCTTTTTAGATAAGAACAACAACAACAACCATAGGACCTTGTCGATCATACCCCCAATTTTGGACTCGCCCATTCACTCTAAATTAGGGTAGGTATCCTAGGGGGTAGTTGTCCTAGGGGGTAGTGGTCCTAGGGGGTAGTTGACTGGGGGTGGTTATCCGGGGGTGGATGTCCAGGGGGTAGGTGTCCTAGGGGGTAGTTGTCCTAGGGGGTAGTCGTCCGAGGGGGTAGTGGTCCTAGGGGTAGTTGACTGGGGTTGCTTATCCGGGGTGGATGTCCAGGGGGTAGGTGTCCGGATACGACCAAACATGCCTAATGTAGCTTTTCATCAAGAATTAATGCTTCTTAAATTGGCATCACAATCATGTAATACTACGCATACCTCAAACGTGTCTCTGCGAAATGCAACATTAATTAATACCACTCTTTTTAACAATAATAGCCGTTTCTTGAAAGGAGGCAGTGGTTTTTGATCGGGTTTTGACTGAGTATTGCAGTTTTAATTTGTGAAACATTGGATTAAATACTGGGGGGGGGGGGGGGCATTCCATTGATACGTTTGTAAACTTCGTTGAGTCTATGAACCTGCCATTTTGAGTGTTTGTTTTTCCATTGTGATGCAAAAAATAAATCTTGTTTGTGGGTTCTTGGATGCACTACCAGGATCATTCTTGCCAGGAAAGATAGAAAGGAAAGATGGGATTGATAATGTTTAAAAATTTCATGATAAAACAAAAGCATACATGCTTCATGAAACCACAAGTTAACAGAAAGGGGATTTTGTGATGTGACATTATGCCCGCCCCCCCCCCCCCCCACTCAGTGTTATTTAGGGTACGCATATGCTCGTACCCTTTTTTTGAAAGCACCCCCTATCTGAGGACTGCCAACATTTCCGAACCCCCCTTTCGCGGGCTTTTCGCGTGTTTTTCCTGCCTTGGAGACCCCCCTAAATCAGGAAAAATGCTCAATGTACCCCCCTAAATTCGGAATAATTTCTCAGGAGTCCAAAGAGATGAGAGAAAAAAAGAAAAACACCCCCTTTTTAAAGAAATCTCCGGGTGAAAAGTCAAATACACCCCTTTTTTTACAATTCTCGGGCCGGACTTTGTCGCACGAAAAGTACCCCTTTACCGGACATTTTGGCAACACGCATGCGGTCATTCCGACCTCTGAGTGGGGGGGCCGGGGACATTATGACTATGATTGTGAAATAATAGTTTCCTCTTCCCCGTTAGACAAATGAATGCGTCAGCTAGAGCGTATTTGACAAATAAATGATGGTTGTTCCGTATTCTTGATCTGTCTATAATGCACAAGCTCAACTGCTCAAGTACAAATCAGGTATTCATATTGTAGAGAGAGCGGAGGGGTGGTGAGTGCTTGCGGCTAGCTTTCAGCGGACAGTACTGCGTTCATTCAGGAGAGGGTACCAAGCAGAGTGCATGGTTGTGCTTTCAATCAAGGGAAATAAAGAACAAATGGAATACAAAATCACGGAGTTTCTTGCGATTCTAGCCTATAGTTTATACAAGGATCGTGTGAATACATGGTCTTCGAGGCGTTGTTTTTGCGGTAACATCTGACAGTCAGCTCGGCCTTTGGTTTCGCTTTCGACTGGCGACATAATATTCAGGTAAGGACGCTTATTCGCAAACTTTGACAAACGGTAAACATGGGGACTAGTGATAGCAAACATTGAACGAAATATTAAATGTTTGTATTTATCTCTATATTATAAGCCTGTGTACGTTGAAAACTAGGCCTATTGTTTTAAGTTCCCAGTGCATGAAATTGTCATATTGGTTTATTTGGACATTTTGAAATGGCAGATTTTAGGGAATTGTTAATCAAAATTTTCTATACATTTATCAATATCATCATTGTGTTATCTTTATACATATTCTAGCATGTATATATTTATCTCTTATACAACACTATTTGCTCGATAATTGCTCAAAACATTTCACAATTAAAATGATCTTGGATTCGGCTATTGCATGTCATTTGATTCATAGTTCACTTAGCAGAGTTTGTGCGCACTATCTTCACTCCCTGTGGAGCAATTCATGTTTACCCAAAGGGTCTTCATAATAAAGACAGGGTATTGTACTTAGACACGCGGGAGCACACGGTGACATTTAAATGACGATACATTTATTTAGATGCTTGGCGTATGACGTAATATCAGGAGAGGATTTGAATATAAAAACTTACCATTGCATCCAACCTGATTGTATGAAGCAGAAAAATCACAGATTGAAAAAACCTGATAAATATATTAAAGCTATATTGAAAGTTGAAGTCACTGGTAGCCTATAGATATCTGAAATTTGGCAAAAACGGTCGTCCGCCGAGTATGAATGAATTGGGGCAAGTAGAAAACTCTGTAAACTGTAAAAAAAAAAAAAGTTGGGCAGATGTTACTAGGAAAATCGAAGTTGGGCAAACTTTGTCCGATAATAATATTAGGTTATTTTCTCCCAACCGTTTACTATATGAAGTTACCTAATGAAAGGTAAAAAATAGGTTGGGTAGGTGTTACTTGGCAAATCGATGTTAGGCAAATGTCGTCCAATCGTTGGGTTATTTCCTACCAACCATGTAGTAACCGATGAAATAATTGGGTAATGTTATTGGGCGAATTAGAGTTGGGCCATTTCTGTCCAACATTTGGGTTATTTTCTCCCAACCATTTACTACATGTATTTACCCAATTAAATGTTCAAATAAGTTGGGCAGATGTAACTGGGCAAACGTAAATCGGGCAATTATGCGACAATAGGGTTGTGTTCTTATATAAGAGGTGTCGTGGTCCAGTTGATATGTCATAGGACTATGGATTACGAGGTTCGCGGTTCGAGTCCCGCCGCGGCACTAATCTCCTTTTGCATTAAATATTTTATCCAACTTATTTGCCCAACAAGTGTCTAACTTATGATACACATTATGGTGAGAATTGGGTGAATCTCAGATTAGGTAAAATTTAGTTGGTAAAAAGTTGGGTATTTTCTTTTTCGTCCAACACTGGGTAAATCATGCAAAATCTTTAATTTACCCAACAGTTAGTTGGACACATGATCGCCCTCATGAGTGTAAGTTGTTAGCGAAAAGAAATGGGTTGGCACGAAGTTAGGAAAGAGTTACTGACACCGAACCCAATCCTAGATTAATACAATTTGACAGAAGTACGGAGTAGGATCATTTTTCAGTGATCGGCTAATGGTTTGAATAGTTGCTTAATAATAATGTGAAAAGCACATTCAGTATCTCGCCTACTTTTTGAAAGATTAAATTATAATTCATAATTCATTTAGATTTAGTATTCAATCAAATCTAGCATGTGTATTTTTCACTAAGTGAAATTTGATTTTGCATGTATTTCCATTTTTCCCCTTTTCTCATCGTGAATATGAAAAGCCCTCCTTGTTTTTAGAGAAAGAGCTGGATAAAGAATAAAAACAAGAATGTTTGCAAAATTTAATGAAGATTACCTGCTTGAAAATATTCAATGCCGTCACAAAATCGGGAAGAAGATATGGAGCAAAAAAAGGGGGAATTAGAAAATGAAAAACAGCGAGAGAAAGGGGAAAGAGGGAAAATTAGGAAAAATAAAATTAATATAAGGACACAACCCAGTGGCGTACGCAGGATTTTTTCAAGGGGGGTTAACATTATTAAATCGGGTCGAAAATTTCGCAACGACTCAGCCAGCCGCTGAATAAGCGGGGGGGGGGGGGGGGGGGGGGGGGAGGACTTTTTTTTTCTTGTCCAAAAAAATTCGCAACGACTCAGCCAGTCGCTGAATAAGGTAAGAGGACATATATTTATTTATTTATTTTTGGTCCCGAAATTTTAAAATTTGACTGATTGACTTGTCGTTCCGTTGGGTGGGGGGGGGGGGGGTGGTATGGTCACCTTCTTTAAGTCATCTATTAGCATTTTTTTTTTTTTTTTTTTTTTTTTAATAATAAAAAAAAGGTAAGGGGGGAGGGTTTCCTTTAAAACACACACATAAAAAATGAAAGGGGGGGTTGACCCCAAACTCCCCCCCCCCCCTGCGTACACGCCTGACACAACCTCCCTCTTTCCATACCTTCTCCCGTTTCCTCTTATTTCTACTAACATGAGAAGGATGACCTAATGATAACTTGGCCATCGATACGCCATAATATACTTACCGAAACTCTTTTAAGCTTCCAATATTGAACATTATTTTCTAAGAACCTCATAATTTCAGCACTAAAACGAACATTTATGTTTTCAATCAAATAGTATAAACTGTTATATTAAACTGATTATTGTTTGACACCAACAAATATAGACCTATTTTGTTATGTTTAAAACCTTATTTCAACATTTTAGATTACTAAAAGAAATATATAAGTCATAGAAGGCCATTGAATTTAACTTGCTTAGATGTGCAAGTTATGATGAAATATTGATGACCTTCTAAAATGCTTCTGTAAAGTTTGTGGAAATACCCATTACGTCATTTTGAATTCGGTCATAGTGTCCAGTAAAGTAAACATTACATAGGTTCATTATCTGGCAAAACGCATTCATTCCTTACTACACCAGAGTGCCTTTATCAAAATATGTTTTGTCAGAATGGTTATAAAGTGACATACAAATGGGAATGGACCTTATCATTCATATTCACCCTGTTCAATGATCAGCTTCAGTAGACACACAATACACACAATCCGTTCACACAAACAATGAATGCCATATAAAACTCAATGAACCAGAGGATTCTCATATAAGCAGAAAGATTCATCTTTAACAAGATCAATCACATTTAGGGAGAAAGAATGGGTGCAAAGTAGAGTTTTAGGGGAATTTTGCACATGGGCCTAAAAGAATTGTTTAACCATTCAGTGCGTATACAAAAGTGTTCCCAACTTTGGTAGTTCCTTATTAAAAATTCATAACGAATTTGACTTTAAAATGTTTTCATGATAAAGAATACTTTATTGTCTGTTAAATGATACCCTATCATAAAATTTAGTTCATGGCTGACTGTTCACCAGGGTCTTTAAAAATTGATGAAAGGGACACCCCTGTCTTACCCCTCTTTCAAAATCAAAACTTTCAGAAATCCAGCCATGATTAATCGCACGACCTTTTGCTTTTGTATACATTAATTGAATCCACTGAATAAATTTTTTTCAAAATATTAAACAAAAATTCGTGATTTACATTATAATATGCTTTTTCTAAATCTAAATATTTTCTGGTGCTTTAAACACGTTGATGGCAATCAATTTAATCTTGAACAAGACGTACATGGTAGATGATCTGTCCTTTATAAAAAACCAAAATTTTGACCAAAAGAAAAAATACTTGTTATTCCATTTTGTAAACGTTTGGACAGAACATGGGCAAGAATTTTATAATAAAGATTTAAGATTGATATAGGTCTCCAGTTATGAAGAGATTTCTTTTTTCCTTTACAAAAATCCTTAAAAAAATCAAAGCTAACATTGTCATGTTTTTACTTGGAGACAATTATTGTTGCTTTCTGTGACCTTCGTTTAAACTGTCAATTAACAAATCTTGTATCTTATTCCAGAAATATTTATAGAATTCGACTGTAAGGCCGTCACTACCTGTAGTACCTGGTGCTTTTTTGTTATTCATTCTCGCCAAGGCTGACTTTGTTTTATAACTCTCTCTCTCTCTCTCTCTCTCTCTAAAGTGCCATATCGTTTGACTTTGGCGATCATGCTGTTCCACAACCCTCGGCTCCTAGCCTTCTGTATTAGTACCAGTCCCAGTTCTTTCACTCCTCTCTCTTCCAACAATTTCTGCAGACTGTCCATCCAAAGTTTCCTCCTTCTTCCCGCAATTTCCCTGTCAAAGCAAGATTCTCTAGGCCTTCTTTACGACCCATGAACTTCAACTGCCTAATCAACATCACACGTATCATTTTCCTTTGCATTCCAGCTCGTGTAAGAACTTCCTCATTACTAACTTTGTCAGTCCAGGGGATTTTCATCATTCTTCTTAAGAACCACATTTCGCAACTTTCCAAACGCTTTTTAGTATCAGAGGCTAAAGTCCATGTTTGTCAGAAATTTTGCCTAACTTTGGAAATGCAGATTTAGCGAGAGCTATCCTTCTCTTGATATCTGTCTCACATCATTCTGGCATCCTCGGTGATCATGCTGCCGAGGTAGTTAACACCTTCAATATTTCTTCTATATATCTCATCCTTTAGTAATTCACTGTTGAATTTCCACTAACCACTTCCTCGTTTCTCGTTGATAAGTTTTAACTGTAATGATATAGCATTATGATCACAATTAACACCGGGCCTGATGTCTTAAGAATAAGCGTAATGGCAAAGCTCACGACAGATCAACCAATGCTCTAATCGGGAGGATAAGTTACGTGAGCTTTGCCTCCATGTATACTGTCTACAAGTGGGATAGAATTAACTCCAAATATCTTGCTAAAAGTATTGCTTTTTCAACTTGAGGATATAATCATAATGAACCATAATCCCTTGAGTATCAACAGTATACATGTATAAAATATGGGGAACCCAGGGAGTGGTATATACAAGGACTTTTATCCTTGAAATATAATTATATACATTTGCATATGCCAAGTTTACTGACTTCTATTCCATATATACTGGAGATAATTATTATGATAACAATAATATGAATAATAATGTTGATAGAAAGATATATTTGTGCCGTCAGATGATTACTTTTCACTTGATTGAATATCTATCATATGCGGTGGGACTAATTGAGAGGGCCAGAGGCGGGGGTCCGGGGGGGGGGGGGGCAGTCTTCCTGTAGTTGGTTGGAACCATCGATCTGTCCTTGCATGAGAAGGAAAAACAGTTTTAAAAATGCACTTTAATATAGATTGTTATGGCCCATGGATATGAGACATTATAGTCACAGTTAGGCATGTTACACTGTAGCGGATTACTAGAGTACAATAAAACCTCAAAGAGGAAGTAGACTAAACGAAAAGTGTACACAATTAAACAGCAGGGGAAGTTGAACTCAGTAGCAATGTTTGCATTTCGGTATATCAAAACAAAGGCAGGTTTATTTTAAGGGAACGGTGCTTCGTAATCAGAATTGACATCCGAAGTGTGAATAAAAACTCTTTTTAAGTAAGACTTATCAATTACGTGACATGATTTATAAAATTAATTCAAAACAGTATTTCTTCAAGGATTAAAGGTTTTAAGGAGTGAATCCATTTGGATGCTTTTTAACATTTTATGTCATTCTTTTTTTATGATCTCTTGCCTTTTTCTTATCAGATAATGAAAACAAATTGAATATGGCATGATATGAAACTTTGGTAATATTAATAAAGAAGAATTGTCACATAATGCTTAGTTTACATTTGCCCCGGGCGCCGTACGATAAATTTGTCTACGATTTTTCGTGTGATTTTGGAGGTATCGTAGGTGGCTACGGGCAACGATGTTTGTTATTACATTATCTGCGAGCATTGTGCCATTTCTATATTGGACCTCGGAGGCAGGCCGGAGTAAATCCGTATCAGCGCCAGGCCTCCACACGATGCCCGTGCGGGGATTGTGCAATGCCACGTACGACATGTCGCATGCCAAACTAGGCACAGCACAGGCAAGGCTTGAAAATGTGGTAGTCAAAGAAAGAGATCAAATAAAATGTTATGAGAAAATGCGTAATCGAGGGTGGTTTGTCCTAATGTTCATGTGTAATGAGTATCGGCATAGCCATCGACATAATTCTAAAATCAGTTACTGTGGTCCGTGGCTAGGGATTATCATCATGTTTAGACCGAACCGCTTCTAACTTCTTACTCAAATCGTTGTATCTTTTATTTATTTTGTTTTTGCAGCTATATGTTTTGAAAGAAAGACGATCCCCTAACATTTGCATCGACGTAGATGTGAGTAGGACTACTCAAGACAATGGCACCACTGCAGGGTAAACCTCGGACAATCACTGGTGACTTCTTCTACAGTCATCAAGAACCAGTCTCCGATGCCGCCTCAAATAGCAACAACAACGACACAGCAAAAGAGAAGGTAAGGTGCTTAGAATCTCTCTAGGTAGGATTAGTCAATAAACGAACTTATTTTCTAGATATTTCGAAATGGTAAATCTGGAAAGAAAAAATTGTCTATTATGCACTCTGTAATTACATTCCGTCCGCAATCGATTTTGTGACAATATTTAAATGATACGAAATTTAAAAACGCAAGGAAGAATAAATCAAACAAACAAACAGAAATAAATGTATATGTATTGCAATATCATTGAAGCTTTAATGGATAAACATGTAGTTATATACACTTTATTGTTCTTAAATGCAATATGTATAAACAGTAGTGGTTCTTGGGGGAGGCGTAGGAGCTCAAGCCCCCCCCCCCCCCCCACACACACACACAATTTCTTCAATTCACTCCCCTCCAAAAATAAAATCACGAGGCACATGTAGAAAATGAATGCAAGAACTCCGATCTCTCCACATCCCCTCCCCCAAATCAGGGCTATAGTAGTTTTCATCACAAAATCGTGCCAATTTGCTAAAGTTGCTGTTCATAATATACTTTCATGTTAAATAAACAGTTTGACAGGCCCGGTTAAGATGCATTTATCATTATTAATCTTACGCAAATATTTTTCTTCAAAGATTTCTATTATCATATTCTTTAAAAATATAGGCAAATAATGTAAACAAAAGAAAATGAGCCGCCCCCGGTCACTTTCACTATGAACATGGCGGACAAAGAAAGCGGACACAATATACAGTTCCTCAGGTAGACAAAGGAACATCCCTTCACTGCTATTATGTAAAAATGTATAGAACAGGTGAATATGCATGTGACACCTGTTTCACACATTTTTACATAAAAGCAGTGAAGGGATGTTCCTTTGTTTACCTGAGCAACTGTATATTTTGTCCGCTTTCATTGTCCGTCATGTTCATAGTGTTTTTAACAGCTGGACCAAGAAAGGAATTATATAATCACACTGGTTTCTTTTCTTTTCTCTGTAGAAATTGTCGAAGATACCAAGCCGCTGTCAACTAAACTTGGAAGATGGATATCTATTCATCTATGGACTCTCTATGAAAACCCCATTCCTCATTCTTCCTAAGATAAGGAAAGTAAGCAGGCAAAAACACGACAAAGAGTTTTTCTGCTTAGAATACGGCACCGAGACAGATCGATTCAATATCTTCCTAACCATTACAAACAAGAGGTATAGCCATATTAACTCCACACAATGTTGTTATCACATAGCATATCAAAGGTTTAAAAAGTTTCTCTAAAGAATATGAAGACTTTTCTTATCATTTCCAGACAAGGTCCTGGTTAAATTGACATATCATTTATGTTTGATCCCTTTTGACAATTGGCAAATATCAATTTGGTCACTGCAAACAATTTGGTAACTCTAAACAATTATCATCCGTTAACGATTTTGGTTTGAATTGATTATTTATGTTTCACTTTCTCTCGTTGTGTTAAAAGCTGTCTAAAAATAACTAAAATATTACATTAATAATATGCAAAGAGAAGGATTTTTGTTGTTGCAATCTTCAAATAACGTTGAAACAAATGCCTAAACTAAAGGAACTATATTGTTTTATCATGATTGATGTCCTATCATTCTTTTATTTTGTATTTATTAAAAGGATTGCAGACGATTGGGAATATGAGCTATGTAAACTAACAGGACAGACACCTCCTAGTCGTCGTAGAGTACAAACTGGAGTTCGACCAATACGACCAAATAAAAAATATACTCTTTCAAGTCCGTCCGCACCCGAAGGCTTCAGTTTGGTTAGTCTGATTTTTGTTTAAATAACGTAGAAGGGAAGAAGGGAGACCGAAGAAAAGATGAAGTGCCTGCTATCTTGCTTGGTTCGTTGATGATGCACACGAGAAGAAAGCAGATGTTCTTAATGATGGCTAACGTCAGACAAAAAATATGTGAAGAAAAGAATAAACTAAAAATTATGTTCGTTCGATTTGGAAATACAAGAAGACAAATGCAGCTACATGACAATTGCCTATAGAAAAACAATAAATCCATCTGTTGTTGTTGTTGTTGTTGTTGTTGTTGTTGTTGTTGTTGTTATTGCTGCCGCTGTTGTATTTATATCTTGCTGTCTTAACAACATGCAACCGATTTGCAAAGAATATAAAAGTGTGGCAAAATGTTGCAATAAACCCCCGACCCGGGGGAAGATATACCATGACAGGTAGATGCATAGATGAAAGCAGTAGTATATGTGAGATAGTACCTAAGGGAGGTTCGAAAGAGATCGTTTGGATTACAAATTCTAAATATGTCTTTCTTCCGTGTACAGGCCAAGCAAGATGGAGGCGATGTGCGCCCTACCAACGACGACGCTACGGATGAAACAAATAGCGAAGCGCATGAAGATGATACAATTCCGACGTGTTCCAATGATAGCCAACCAGAGCCTGAGGACACCCAAGCCGCTGAAATATCAACAATGAGTCTGGGAGACGACCAAGACACACAAACACAACGGACTAGTCGAAGAGATGGCCAAAGATCTCCCAGGGAGAGTCACTTAAAAGAAGTCCTGGGTTCTGCGAATGTCAGCCCCACTCCTGGAAACTCACCAAATAGTCGTCATAGCGACGAAATTCCTAACAAAGCTTGTACGGATAGTATCCTCGAAAATACAAACTTGAAGCTAAAGGAACACCAGCAGCATGAAATAGACGATGAAAAATTTAGCGAGGTATTACCTCTTAAGTCAAGACACTTTGACTCTGAAATGGGTATTCCACAGTCCTTAGATCAACCGCCTTCGGGATTAGCCTCGAGTGGACTACCTGGTGCACTTCGTTCTACAGACCCAGTCGACCAATGCACGTAAGATCTCATGATTATACGCTTATTTTACATAAAAATGGACATGCCAATAAGCACCCTTATATCATAGGATAAGAGTTGATTTCCTAATATTGATCTTACTTCTAGTTTGTATTCCATCTGTTCTAATGGGGAAATGAGGACAACATATTCACCGCAATCTGTGTGATGCTGACATGCAAGTGCAGGAAACAAGCTCATTACTGAAAACATCATGTGAATTGTGTTGGTTCATAATATTATTTATACATATCAACATTCTGTTCTTAAAAACTTATGAAATATACGGTAAGAGACAGGGTTGATCACATTTTTTTTAAGTAGACACAAAGGTTATAAAGATACATTTGTATTACACGTTATTTACGTTTCTTAATGTTTGTGTGGTGATCGTTACCGCAATTGTATATATAAACTAAATCACATCTTTTTTTTAAACAAATCATTCGCTAAAAATAAATTTGCAAATCTTGAGCAACTTCACGACCACCAAAACGTTTAGTATTTCACATATTATTCTTTTTAGTCGATTGAAACTGTCATTGTTTTTTAAGTAGATTTGTTTTTCTTTCAGGCACATAGAGATTGAATGCAGTCAAGAGAAGTCGAGACTCACCTTCAACAAGAAAGTCTTCTTAAGCACTGGCGAAATCAACGACACATTTGTCCGTTACGGAGGATCTCTGTAGTAAGTAGATTGAAGATTAATGACCCAAAAATGTATATTCGTCGTTATGATTAAAGAGGAAAAAAACTTCGAAATTGTAACTTTAATGTTCAGATAAATCGGATAAAGAATTAATGGCATGTACATGCTTGATCAATTTATGACGATGAGAAAATTTACCATAATGAAGAGATTTGTATTATCTTTATAATGTTCACCTTGATAATGAATATGGTTGTTATTTGGGAAGTCATACTATTTTTTTAAAAAATGGTTCTTTGTCGAATCTTAATTTGCGTTTTACTATATCATATTATTCTCTTTCATCGAACTATCATTGTTACGACTCAGGACTGTATTTGAGTGGTAAGTAAAATCAAAATGGAGTCACGATGCATGCAACCCGCACCCATCCTTATCTGCTTATAGAATAATGATATAAGTGATATTCTATCAAGTATAACATCACGAACTCCTAGCAATCTCCAAGCATATAGCATGAGATAGATGCAATCAGATCACAAAAATACTGGAAATTCAGTAAATTAAAAAAAAACACGAAAGAAGCATAAAATCGTTTGTGGTATATGTCTATGATACAGCCTTCAATGTCACGATTTGTGTTTGTAGCTTTTATATTAGGAGGTTTGTATGTTTTTGTTCTAACATTAGCCTTATTCAAAATGACCATAATTTTGAGATCGAATTTATAGTCTGCCTAAAGAACAGTGGTAGAGGTTGCATGCTCAATAACAAATGAAAAAATATAACTTTGAATATAACATTGAATAACCCACTAAACAGCAAGTATCATGACAGTTTAAAGATGAAAAGAAAATTAGTGACCATAATATCCTATCAGTTACTCACTCATCACACTTTTGATTTATCTAGAAATTAAATTCCTTTCCAGATAGCTTGCTTTGTATGGACTGAAATTATACCATATTTTGCAATATTGAGAGAGAGCTAACAACCGGAATCTGCATGTTACCATTGCATGAATTAAAATTAACAAGTTTATTGATTTCTGTATCTGTTTATGAATAAGATATCTTTTCTTTTCTTTAAAAAATTGTTTTATATTTGATCTGTTGTTTGAATATAATTCTTGAATATACGCCATATATACATATGTTTAGATTGTATGATGAGATAGATCGTTACAATAGAGCGCCACATTGGTGCTTTCCTTCAGTTCGTTTGCTAAAATTCAACTATAGCCAGACATAATTACGTTGCATAACCATTTATTATTTTTTTGCAAATTAATTTCATTTTAATTAATAGGTGAACAATAGTCATTACAAATTATGACTATATGATGTCGTGAGAGTTTATATTTATTCATCGAGCTTATATAATTGAGAGCCCCTCTTATGATATTCTGTTTTTACTATATGTCACAACCAAATAACAAACTTTTTATTTCTGTGGTGCATGTGTTGTGATTTCATGCTTTAGATCCAATTTTATATTGAAGGTAGAGTTCCGGAACGAGTTTTATTTCAATTTAAGATTTATTTAAAGAAATCGCATGGATAAAAGGAACAATATTTACATATAATCAAGAATATGTCTAATGAATTTCTTTATCCAATATGTTTTATTATAAAAACATCATTAGCATTCTCCTACCTCCAACTCTTCCGCTATTTTCTTATTTCTCTTTTCATTCCTCCTTCTGGCGCACAATCTTTTCTTCTGTATCATGCTTATCCTTCATCTCTATTATTTGTTTCATTTTCTTACTCTCATCCCTTCTTTTTATTTTGCAATTTCTTTTCCTCCCTCAGCTTAAAGTCTTGTCCGGAAAGTCTTCAAAGTGAACTGTTTATCGGGACCCTTATCTTGCAGGTGAATAACCAAGAACCTGACAATGCTAGAGGAGCAATAGAGTACATCACAACCAGCGCAGGACAAACGGTAAGCCTGGAGAAGAAAAAGGATATATAATGAATTTCTTTTAACGAGTAATTTTGAATAATTGAAGTGATATTTGTAAGCTTTGCCAACTACCTTCCCAATGAACCTAAGAAGATAATTTGTTATTCTACCTATAATAACCTATAAACATATAATGGAACCCCCCCCCCCTCCCCCTCCACCCATTTTGTATCAAAACGACAGCACAACTTTCGTAAAATATTGTTATTTTGTTTTCATGGAAATAAACCGTTTATGTATCAATGAAGGTGACTAAATAATACTAAATGACTAATTTTATGTAGGTTAATCATATTTGTATCCCTACAACGGTCAAACTGTGTACCCCTATTAAAAATGTGCTGCTGGAATCCGCTGGAATATGCATCATGCAAAATTATCATGATCATGTGCATACAGAATAAACAAAATTTGTTCAGCGCTTGAATCGATCGTACGAAAACAGTCTTTCGTTTTTATTTATTTGAATTATAGACTTAATATCAAGAACTATAAACATAAATATCATAATATTAATACATTTTCTGTTTACAGGTGGATTTGTTGGTGCAGTTGTTCCCTCTTGGGGTACGAGTGCGGCTATGTGTTCCATCTGTAGCAGCTCTAGGCATTACCCTGCATGGAAACGAGGTAAGGCAGAATCCTTATATAAAGATTGTTTAAGTTAGGTACTGGTTTTCCCCAAGCTCTAGTTTGGCTCTATTCCTTCTGGCGGTAGAAGCTGTACAAGAGATGGTCAGAAAAGTCAGAAGAAGTTATTTTTGTTTCTCCCATTCTGTTGACAATTTTTTGTCTCGATGTATTTGATTTCAGATCATGAGTATGAGTGGAGATGGTGTAATGAGTAAGATAGCTGATGGTCTGAGGTGTGTCTGCCCAGCTCTCTCCACTACTGACATGCCTAGCCCATCTGCTGAACAGCGATCCATTACAGCTATAGGAGACTACCATGTACCATTCGATGCTACTTCAGATGAGGTAGGTCTACCAATGGGTGATACTAAGACCAGGCCTTGGACGGACTTAGACTGGAATTGGGTTACGACGGGCCAGCTCAACCTATATATCAACCGGCCCTCAGACCACAAATCAACAGACCCTCAAGCATATTATCAAGGGGCCTGAGGGGAAAATCCCCCAAACTCTAAGTAGCCAGTCCGCCCCTATACAGGGCATTTGACTGGTTTGGGAGGGAGGGTGCAGGGTGTCAGTCTGATCACCCTATTTTATCTCAGCCAGGATCGATATGACATTTCACATAGACATCTAGTAAATGTATCTGTAGACATATCCCAAACCCCGGGATCTCAAGTAACGTGCTGTGCTCTTTATTTATTTATGTTGTTAATGTTTTATTTGCTTTCATGGTTTTAAATAGAATAGGTCTAGGCGTAATACCCTGATAATGATAAAAATGTCTGCAATCGTCACTAATTCCAAATTTGAGCTGAGGTGGGGGGGGGGGCAATATTCTAAAACACTTACCCTGACCATTAAGCATCTTCTCTTTTCAGGTTGAAGATATGTTGGATTCTGCAATCAAAAGTGGCAATGGACATTTAGTTCTACAGCTCCAGCCAACAGAGTTCTGCCAAGCCATAGCTCCCAATGCCTTACAGAGACGTATTGTAAAGGAGGATAATGCTCTACTCAACCTAAGACCAGTCCGTAGATCATCTAGACCATCACTATCACTAGCTAAGAGTCTTAAGAGTAATCCTCCTTCTTAGGGCCGAATGGAGGGCCAAGCAACAAGTATCGAGAGGATTTTCTAAAGTTCTTGACTTTCGTTGCTTGTTTCATTGCCAATGCTAAAGTAGATCTCATGCACTCGTTGAATGAATGATGAATCCCGCAAAAGTGTTACATTTCGGAAGAATAATAAGACACATTTTGTTAGAACTTATTAAAGCCCCAATGCACTAGTATGGCTTGGAGGGATTAGACCTCCCTGCATGGTCACTGACAGGTGGTTTTCTCATAAAACAAGCTCTCAATTAACATAAGAAAAAGGGGATCATGGGGGACCAATGGTCACTGATTAGGTATTGTTTGCTATATAGAAGGCGCAAATAGTTAAAAGAAGTGCAGTAGGACTTTAATATGAAGCTGATCGTTGATGCTTGTTTGTGAGTTCTGCTCTCCATTCTGTCGGCCATGAGTCTATCTTAGATGAAAGTTTGCATCTATAACATGAACAAACTGCCAATGCAAAAACATGATTCTTCATTACACATGCATCCCTATATAGGGTAAATAGTGCTGGTCTTCATAAGTTTTGTAAATACCTTCTTTTCATTTGGAGGAAGTCATTTCTGAGGTTCTGCCTTTACTGATTTCTATATTGCAAACTGTTCAGGTTTAGTAAGTAATAATGTAATATTTTTCACTCAACACCCCCACACCCTTTTGGGCGTCGTCTTTTCTTTTTGTAAAGGTAAAATTAACTTTACCATCTTTTTAAACCTATTTTTTTTTTGGCCAGGGGAGGGGGCCCTGGATCCGCCCCTGTGTACATATGCCGCATTTTATTGTATTACCATGTTATGTTAATCCCTTGCCAAATGATGTTTATTATCATAAATCTTACCAATGTATTTAATATTACACTCTCATATCAGCTTTTTAGATATGGTGAATTTGGGAATTTTCATCTTTTTTTACATTTGTTGGTCAGTTGCAATCTTCATTCCCTCCACCTGACATTACGGAAAAGGTTGATTAGATTTTCATTTGTTGTTGTTGTCATTGATAATTTCATTATGCCAGGGTTTATTTCAATCAACTCTTTTCATTTGATGTTTTATGTTGTAATAAAGCAAATGAAATTCGGAATGATGTAAGATATTGTAAGCGAGAGAGAGAGAGAGGATAGTTATATTTGCAAAATTGTAGTCGTTTGGTTAATGCTTGTATCGGGCATTATATAATCACGGTAGTAGTTAAATTATGTGCTCATTTTGTTGGTGTATCGTGTGTATATATTACTCTTTCTGAGGCATATAGCCTAGTAATATACAGAATAAAATACTTAGAATCGTACTCTTTTCATTTTCACTAAATGATAGTTTCTAGTGTTTAGCAGCAGTGTCTGCCTACCATGAATTATGCATGGACACCATATTCTATATCTTTTTTTTAATACAGAAAGTTTAAAAGCTGTTCTTGAATACCGTTTCTTATAAACTAAATATACATTTAAACAGTTAATTTTGTTTGGCTGGAATTGTTGATGGATTCTGTTTGTTTGTTGGATTATGTTGAAAGACTATAATCATTTTCATAATATTATACATGTATATAATGAAGGATGAAATGTCGGAACATTAATACGAAAATTATTTATTTTGTCATTTGATTTGTTTATCGGGTCTTTTTGGAAGTAATACGGGTTGAGATTGAGAAAACTGTCTTGAAAACAATAAATTTATGAAGATTGTAGGCTTTTATACATAGGCTTATTGGTGTAAATTCGTTTTGGTTGTGAAATCGTAAATAAAAGGGGCTGGAGGAAAGGGGTTAATCAGGTGTTAAACGAGGTGTGGGAGACTGACGCTGAGAGAGAGAGTGAGAGAGTGGGAGAGAGAGAAGAGAGAGGGGGGGGTAAAGAGAGAGAGATAGAGAGAGAGAGGGGGGGGGGAGGTAAAAGAGAGACGAGAGAGGAGAGGGAGAGAGAGAGAGACGAGAGAGAAAGAAAAAAGGGAGAGAGAGAGGGAGAGAGAAGGAGGGGGCAAAAGAGAGAGGAGAGAGAGAGAGACTAGCTGGGCAATAATATAATAAATCTCTCAGAATGAGTAAAGTTATTTCTTGGGGTGAGGTTTCCTTTAATAGTCGGGTGACATCCAAATATAAGTTGATTCCTGTTGGGCTGCATACAACGCATATTTTGTTATTCAAACATCTAAATATATTTCATATATATTTCTAAATATTTTGTTAAATAATTTTCTCAGACCTACTAAGCTCCACTCTTCAGATCTCATTCATCTTGTGACATCATCTGCCAATCATTAGTGAGCTAACATGAGACAGTGGTATGTAGCTTCACCAGATCTGACCACCTATTTACAATAGACCATACAATATCAACATGGGGTTGCTATGTCAGACGTGTTGTAGCATCACCAGGTAAAGAAGGGTAATGTGAAGGTATTGTATGAAAGAATGCAATTCTTTTGTGAGCATTTGCTGAGCTGGGGGAAGTTACATACCACTGTCTCTGTTAGATTGTATGCAGCCATGCACATCAACAGGAATCAACATATATTTGGATGTCACCCGACCTTTAAATTAGCAGCACAATCACGTAATACTAGTACGCAAAACAACACAAATCGCGCATAACTCAAACGTGTCTCTGTGAAATACAACAGTAATCATATTTATTTACAGTTCTTTTTCAACAGGGTTGCCTCTTAACAAACAAATATCCCTGAGGGCACTGCATAATAAAAACAACGGATATAGAATATGTATAGACTCCGGATAGTACAAAAACAGTTATACAAACGTTACTTTAAAACAATTGAGTGATGGGGCTAATCTCTGTTCGGCATTTAATTTATTCCATTGCTTAGACCCAAAGTACAAAAAAGTATGTTTACCACTCTCGTTAACAATAATACCCGTTTTTTTAAAAGAGGCAGTGGCTTTTGTACTATTGCGGTTTTGTGAAACGTTGGCTTAAAAACTAGGGGGGGGGGGGGCATTCCATTGATACATTTGTAAACTTCGCTCAATCTAGGAACCTTCCATTTTGAGTGTTTGTTTTTCCATTGTAAGCAAGAAATAAATCTTTTATGTGGGTTCTTGGATGCACTCCAAGGATCATTCTTGCTAGGAAAGATAGAAGGGAAAGATGGGATTAATGATGATAGAAAACATCATGATAGTAGCATACATACTTCATGAGGCCACAAATAAACACTAGACAGGTTTTTTATTTAACAGAAATGTTTAGGGTCAGGCCTATCTATTTTCGTTCTGAAAATACCATGATGATTTATCCAAAGCTTTCAGGCTTTTCAAATCAGCCATAATGGACAAAGATAGTATTATGCACCAACTTACATAAAACATTATTTTTTAAAAAAGAAGAAAAAATGGAAGTATTTCATGTTTGTTCAAAATATTTCAGGGATAATGGGATAAGACAAACAACATTCTGTTTATCAAAACTAGAATAGATTCAGATCCTAGATTTTACTTTTATGGAATAGGGGTTTTTTGGACTTGACATTTCATGGCAGATCCTTTCATTCTTGCACGCAACACAAAAACATAATTATGAATAATATACTTCCTCTTTCCCCGTTAGACGAATGAATGCGTCAAGTAGAGCGTATGGCAAATACATGGTGGCTGTTCACTATTCTTGATCTCTCCGTGGACAATACCATGATCTATCTGTCACGAGGTAAAGTATAAATCAGGTGTTTATATTGTAGAGAGAACGGAGGGGTGGACTCAGTGGCGTATTGAGCAAAAAATATGGGGGGGGGGGGGTAACGAAAATCCGCATCACCACCACTCTTACGTTCATGCGGGCCCCGCGGAACGCTTTACAATGTGGGGGGGGGGGGGCTAAAGTGTTTACGATCAGGTAGAACGTAGCGAGTGGAGCGTAAATTGGCGTGGGGTCCCGAGGCAAAGCCCCGGCGGGGGTCAAAGGATGGGGCCCCAAAAGCTCAGGGATTTTAGGCATATTTTAATCACCGTCAGATGAGCATATTTTGATACCTCATTTGTGACACTGGCAGGTCACTATTCTTTCGTTATTTCTGTCTTTCTATTTCTCTCTAACCTACTTTTTGAATAAATTGAGGGGGCGCCTAGCCCCGTCGTTCCCCGTGACCTGACATGGAGGCTTCTTGATAAGCATATATTTTGCCCGACTGTAAATTTGTTATTTTTCAAAAACGCATATAAAGTATAATTTACACAAAAGTGAGAAAAAATCCCGGAAAATCATGTCATTTCAGCAACATTTGGAAAGCACTTGTATCGATTAGAAATAATCCACGTTTGATTGTTTTTGGGGAACCCCCCCCCCCCCCATCAGTACGCCAGTGGGGTGGTGAGTATATGCGATTGGCTAATTGCTCCGTTTGGTGCACGATCAGTTCTGCGTTTGTTATCAAGAGAGGGTATCAACCAGGGTGGTTGTGCTTTCAATTGAATAAACAAAATCACGGAGTTTCATGCGATTCTAGCCTAGTTTATACAAGGATCGTGTGGTAACATGGTCTTCGAAGGCGTTGTTTTTGCAGTAATATCTGACAGTCAGCTCGGCCTTTGGTTTCGCCTTCGACTGGCGACATAATATTCAGGTAAGGACGCTTATTCGCAAACTTTGACAACCGGTAGCATGGGGGACTCATGATAGCAAACATTAAACGAAATATTAAATGTTTGTATTTATCTTTATTTTATAGGCCTGTGTACGTTGAAAATTAGGCCTATTTTTTAAAGTTCCCAGTTCATGAAATTGTCATATTGGTTTATTTAGACATTTTGTAATTAAAGGTTTTATAGGGAATTGTTAATCGAAATTTTCTATACTTTTATTAATATCATCATTGTGTTATCTTTATTCTAACATGTACATGTATCTATTTATCTCCTGTACACCCCTATTTGCTCGATAGTATTTCAGCAATATAATTATGTGCAATATTAACTGTCATGATGATTGGCATAGCGGGTTCTTCCATTCATTCGTATTTTGATATTGCATGTACTTGTATCCTTCCTCTCACTCTCTCATCTTTTTTTCTCTATTTGAACTTGCTACTTTTCAAATTTACTTTTCTCTTATTCAGTTCTGATCTTTCCTCTTTATTTCTATTTCACTCCCATTCCCTCTCTCTCTCTCAGCTCTATGTCTGTCTCTATCTCTGTGCTCTCTCTGCCTCTTCCTCTTTCTCCCTTCGTCTCTCCTTCCTCCTCTCTGTTTTTCTCTCTCACTTTCTGTCTCTCCCTCCTCCTCTCCACCTTTCTCTCTC